CAAGGCCAATGTTCAGCCAGGTCCCCCAGCTCCTCGCCGCCGCGGCCAATGCACCCAGAGCGTGCCGGCCGCTCCCCGGTTGTGGCTCCCGAGCCGTCGCCCACCACAGCAGGTCCAGTGACGCCGGCCAACGAGGTGACCCGTCCGGAGCTCCCGGCGCCACAGGCCGAGTCCTCCGTCGGTCCATCGGAGACGAACGCAGATGGAAGGGCCCCGTCGCAGCCCACCGTCCCCGAGATGGAGTCACCCCCCCGAGCACGTCGCTGGCTCTCCCAACGACTTCCGGTGGAATCACTGGGGTGCCACCTCCCCCTGCGCAACCCCCCACCTCTCCCCCCACTTTACCGGAGAGCGTGGATGTGGCTCGCCCCATGGGGGCCCTGGGCCGCAAAAGGAAGGTCAGTCGCAGGAGATGGGGAATGGCGACGTCGCTGAGGGAGAGGGCCCGGGGTTGTGACATGCGCCGGCGGCACCGAAGGACTTGTATCGAATCAATGTACCATAGCGCGGAATTATGTACACAATATATGGTTTGAGCACACCCTCTGAATGTCGACTGGATATCCCCAAGGACATAGTCACCCCCGGCCCGAGCTCACTCCCGATATCTCGGCCCGGGGCTCTAAGCGTTCCACCGGCGCCGAGCATCACAGGAAACTCTCGGCCGGGACTTGCACCCCGCAGTGGCACCGGCTATTGCGGGCATATCACAACCCTGACTCTGCTACCTCTCAGGCATGTCAAATGCCCTAAGCCCTCCGGGACGCCAACGTCTCGCCCCGAGCAGGCACCCAAGTCGCGGCCCGAGACTCGTCCAATTCCCGGCCCGGGAGTTTTGGAAAGTCTCGGGGCCGGGAGTTTGGGAAAGTCTCGGCCCGGGAGTTTGGGAAGGTCTCGGCCCGGGAGTTTTGTCAAGTCTCGGCCCGGGATGGTCTTCGAATATCGGGGCCGGCATGTCATTACACAGTGGGCAACTGTACAGAGGCAATGCTATCGGGATACCACGCCGGCATTCAATCCAGCTGTATGAGACTGACATTGATTCGGCGACATAATGTAAAGTACGATAACTCATATGTGAGGGGACTACGGACAGCTAACGCCGGCGGGTTGACCTTCGCGTCGCCGTCGTGGTCTTGCTTTGAGACTTAATCTTGGCCGGCGACGCAGACTTCTTCGTGTTTGACGTCCGGGCTGACGATTGACCATTGGCGGGCGATTCAGATGGGTTTGGCTTCGACCGTTTGATCCGGGCGCCGATCGCTGACGACTTCTCGGGCACATCTCCAGCTTTCCGCTTCTTCTGCATCCTATGTGCCATGTCTTCCCACAGTTTGCCTATCGTCTCGCAGTGTTCGCCGAGCTCCTCGACGAAGCTCCAACCAAGTTGTGATCCGTGCACGTACTGTGGGATCTCGTCTTCCTCGTCGCTCCGGTGATCGATCTTCCTCTCGATGTCCTTCACAACCATGGCAATCGCCAAGGTAACCATAAGTCCGTTCTCTCGGCTCATCGGGGTGTCCGCAAGACTGGTACCTATCCTTGTGAGCCACGCACGGAACCGTGCTAGGACGTCCTTGTCATTGTGAATGTCCGGCGTGCATCGGGCTCGGCGGTAGTTCCAACTGCCCAGTCCCACTTAGTCTTGGACTGCCATGCGCCGGTCTCGGACTAGATGTGGTTCGTCAGAACATCAATGGCGAGCACGTCAAGGTGGAGCTCACTAGGTAGGGCAGTTTGTTGACCAGGTTTTGCACCCCGTCATCGGCTGTGAGCTCCCGGAGCCACTGGAGCCGTTCCTCCCAACTCTTCCCAGCGGTGGCCGGGCTCTCCTCATGCGGCTGTGGTCCAGGACGACCGGTGCGGACGGCCGGCGTGTCTTTGGCCTTCTTCGGCTTCACTGTGAAGTGGACGGGAATAAGAATACACCCAAGCCGAAGCAGGTTTATACTCACCCGGACTTGGTAGGATGATCACCTCGTCGTCGTCCTCGGCATTGGATTCCACCGGAGCCCTTTTCTTTCCGCTGGGGCCCGCCTTCGCTTTGGAGGTGAGCGACGGTTTACGGGCCTTCTGCTCTGCTTTCCCTTTGGTCCCACCGTCGCCGGGTATGGGCTTTGCAGCCTTCTTGGGGACCGGGCCCTCCGGGACTACCTCGGGCCGAGGACTGCTGGGATTCGCGGCCTTCTTCTTGGGCCGGGGTTTGCTCGGTGGGCCTTGGATATGACCACCGCCTTTTCCCACCGTCCAGAGCCGTCATTGCGGGCGCTGCAATCCCCTCGGTGGGCCCGATTTCCCTGCCGGCACCGGGTTGTCGTCAGGGATACTTCCCGAGTGGGCCGGGCCTTCGAGGGTGGAGCACCTCGATCGGCAGCCTTGCCCTTGTCCTTACGGGGTGGGGGAGGTGCTTCATCGTCCGTCAACTCGGGCGACTGCGCCTTCTTCTTTCCCTTGTCTTTCCGCTTCGGCGACGGTTTGGCTGGCTGCTCCTCCTCATCGGTACTCAAGTCGGCTTTGAATAGGTCACTGAAAGTCTCCTCCGCTTCGCTCTCCTCTGCGGACGCCTCATCGCTAGCAATATCGCCGGCAGGTTCTTGCCGGCGCGCGCGAGACGGTCCGGGCGTGGCTTGCCTACGCTGTGGCTTAGGTCGCCTCGCCGAAGGTTTAGGCTTTACTGGCTCCGGGACGACGATCTCCAGCTTGGAATTCTTCCAGGCCCTAAACCGCAGCACCGGACCCTGCGGATGGTCGTCTTGCCTCTCCCGCCAATGAGTGAGGATTGCGTCGAGGTCCCCGGTGCGCATCTTATTCGGGTCGCTCAGCACGGTGCCGGCGGGGAGGTACTCAGGGTCGATGAACGAACCGAGAGTTCTGACAGTGATTGCCACGGCACTTTGACTGTTGATCGTCCGGTGAAATTAACTGTTGATAATATGTCAACAATGGAATGCGTATCAATCCCGGACACGCGTACCATACGTCTTCCGAACGAACGTCGCCAAAAACATACGCTTCAATTTCGTCTTTTTGAAACAGTCGTGGTCCGCCGGCGGCATGAGCGGATACCCGTCCTCGTCCTCCTCCCAGTCCATGTTTTCGATGACCGATGCCGGTCCGTGGTCTCCTTCCTCTTCGAATCCATTCCCATCTGTTTGCTCCGGATTTAGGTCTCGCTCGCGCCGCCGAAAGCTCTCACATACCGAACACGGTCTTGATGTATGCCTTCCACATGTCATACAGCAGGCCGGTTTTCCACTCGGCATGGGTGGCAGTAAACTTCGGTACCTTCGGGGAATCTTCTTCAAGTATCATCTCGTCGTTGAAGTCAAACCTGACAATGTATTCAACGATTCGAAGCCTAGCACTACGGTGGGCACACGTACTCTAACACACCGTTCTTCCCGTCCGCCATCGGGATCCCGACGAGGAGAAAGCACCTTGCCCCGCATTTCCTCCACATGATCTTCATGAAGTCCCGGATCATGGTGGTGCCGTACTTCTCGAGCTGCTTCCGTTGAAGGTCGGCCGGCCATACCTGCGTGTTCCAATCCTTGGCGACCTGCATGTAGTCGGCCTGGTCCTCCGGCGAGAGATTGTCGCAGAGCTCCTTCAAGGCGGTTTGGTAGATGGCCGGGATCTGGCGGCTCGGCATCGCCTGGCCTTCCTTGTCTCCCTCTCATCCCCCTCCTCCTCCTCGTCGTCGTCGTCATCCAACCCATCCTTCCCCCTCTCCCGGGCAATCCTCGCCATGATCTCCCCCAGCTCATCCTCCCGGTCGCGGGCCGCGACCGTCCTCCACGTTATGTCCTTGCCGAGCTTAAACATCTCCTTCTTGACCTGCTCCTTCGACCCCCGTCGGTTAGAGTACCACTTATCGACGCGCTGCCGGAGATGAGCCACCAATGTTCTATCATCGTCGTCGAATGCATACCTTTCGCAACTGAGCATCAAACTTGATTTTCTTCCGCTCTTCCAGCCGTTGAATGCTGTTCTCCACGAGCTCCTGACGTCGCTGTGGATCCTCGGAAGCCTGTTGATAATCCTCCAGGTTGCTGTTCAGGATCACTAGGTCCGGTTCTTGCCAGGTGACTTTGCCCATTGCGAGTTGTCTGGTGAAGTGAGAATGCTAGGTGAGCAAGGTGTGATTTGTCGACGAAGATGGTGGTGGCAAGAGTTCGGTAGCCTCGGGGTGACGGATTCGGTGACACCCCAAGCCTTGTTCGCCACAACCTTTCGATTCTGAGCTTAGCTAACACGCTGTACTCGGGCTTACACAAATTCTACCTGCAACCATTACACGACATTCGTTTCATTGTTTACTTATCACCATAACTCTGATGTGCTGGCACGCCGGCCGCCCAGAATGGGAGGGTTCCGGCCGGAGCATCACGGACGAACCCACATTGGATTCCAGCGAGTCACCAAGGTGTGACTTGTAGCTCTCCAGTTCCATGGTACTCGCCGTACCGCAGATCCCGCTCGCCGCCGGGTCCGGTCACTGACTCCGGTTACCAGGTTAAGACAAGACCCATCACCGGCCGTCCCGACCGGCAAGCCAAGGAAGGCTCAAACTGATCTGGCTCCAACATAGCATCCAGCAAATGCTTCTGGCACCTCGTCTGACTGGATGAAACTCACTGCGCCGGACACGTGACCGGGCGGGCGGGCCGGACCGTTGTGATCGACATCTTGCCGGCCGCATCATTATATACGCAACTGACTAATGTCCGGCCGGGCCATTATGCGCCCCGTTCTCATGCGAACCATCATGGAATCCTAAATGCTGTCTGATTTAGACGAACTGCAACACTTAGCGACTCCACGTCGGTGATCCCGGCCCCGGCCGCACCATACCCGGAACACGGGCGGCCGGCCCGCTGCATACTGCTGCACTAGTGGCAATCGCAATGGTTGCAGGAGTTTTGACGTGAGCAATGGCAATACAGAGCTGAACTCTGCCCTTATCAAACTGCTGAGCTGTTGATTGCTCTGGTAACACCATGGGTCGACTGCGGCCAACGGCAACCTCTCCTGCAGTGGTAGAACTCACACTGACGAAAAGAAGGACTGCAAGGGGAGTGAGGTCACGGCTTGTCGAGGTGCAGAATAGCGGGTTGCAGACTCCGCCGGCTACACCCCATCGAACCGCTCGGTCGACAACAAGACAGTCCAGCTGGACGCCACCAACCGATGATGTTGCCAACACGACTTTCTGCGAGTTCCCCACAGTTCGACAGAGTGCCCCGCAGGTATACCAAGTGCCCATGTTGTATCGTAGACAGAGCCTCACCAATTCAATCAGACACAACCTGAGATGCTTAGAGAGTGGATTCCCCTCCAGCACAACTATCTGCGATCGTTGTACGCCCACTACAAGCCTCCCGCGCTCAGTGCCGAGGGGAGCTATATGTGCTCGAGCTGCAACAGTGGCGGCGGGGTATGGAAGTGCATGTCGTGCATTGGTTATCCAATCTTCTGCCCGACCTGCTGTCTCGCCGAGCACCGGCGAACACCATTCCACCGGGTTGAGCAGTGGAACCTCGGAGGATACTGGGAGCCCTCATGGCTCCGTCAAGTTGGAGTTTCAATCACTCTCGGCCACCGGGGCAGAGAATGCCCCCAGCCGGCGGTTGTCGTGGAGGATGACGAGGAAGTGGAGATGGACCGGGCGACCGATCGCGCGGCCGACGATGATGGCGATGTACCAGCGGACCCTCTTCACCACGCCGACTCACCTCCGCGACCCCCGCCCGCAATGATGACTATTGTTGACACCACCGGGGTGCATTTCCTCCCGGTGACGTGGTGCGGCTGTCCCGACGCCGGTGACCACACATCGCAGCTTCTCGATGCCGGGTTGTATCCGGCGAGCCAGCGAAGGCTCGTACGTGCTTCACCTTTGGGGCACTTGACGGTTTCCTGCTGGACAATCTGGAGTGTAAGACTACCGCCATGAATTACTACGCACGGATTCGACGGGCCACCAATCCGGCTTTTCCCCATGAAGTACCGGTGAGTGAGCGTCCAGAATACCAGCAAAGCACATGATTGAAATGGAAGTAGGATCGATACCTTGAGTGCTTAGAGTGAGCCGCGAATGGGCGTTGCTCCAGGCGAAGAAACAGTTTGGATACGGGCCACAGTGGCGAGAGGCCCCGGGCAACGGAGACCTTGCTCACTTTTGCCCGGCATGTCCGCAGCCCGGAGTGAACATACCCGAGGACTGGGAGGTGGATGATAGGAAGTAAGTAGTTACTCTGTTCGCCGGTATACGCCAGCTGAACTGTTCTGGAGGTACCTATATGCCCGAGGATATGTCATGGATGGGAACTTCCACGCCGAGCAAATGAAAATGCGCAAGCCCGAGAACGACGTACCGTTGATGCCGGGGAAAATGTTCATGGTTCATCCCGGCCCATACGAGGAGCACCTGAGAGTAGCGAAGGACGTGAAGATGGTGAGGGTGTATACAGCCGGCATACGAACGTGTGGCTAACACGTCCACAGCACTCAAGCTGCAACGACCACAAGGCGGTCTCCCAGGCCAACGCCGACCGGCATAAGCTCGCTGTCACCGGGATCGGCGCAACATCTTGTTTGAGGCACGGGTGCTTCCTTCCGCACTCGGTAGTGAACTATCAGAAGGGCGAACGTCAGATGAACATGGACTACTCCCTGTCCAATGCTCTCGGCTACCGCTCGAGAGGTATTGGGCACGTCTATGTATCATACGACATCATGTGCCAGTACCACGTCCATCTCCATGACCGATTTGACGACAATCCTTATCTTCAAATGCCGGGGGGCCTCGTCCTATACAAGTGCATTGGCCTCTTTCACATTCACGGTCACAAGGCGGAGTGCGAGCTCCGGCACTCTCTCACCTTCACCGAGGGGGCCGGGGAGCTGACGGCGAGATCATCGAAACCCAATGGTCGGGGATCAATCCCGTGTCGGGTAGTACCCGCTCAATGTCAACATCCCACCGGCAGGAAACCCTCGACCGGCACATGAACAATTGGAATTGGAAGAAGATGATCACCATGGGTATGGTCTAGCTGATTGTGGCATCACACATTGGGCTGACGGAGGACAGTGGCTTCGCTGAGAAGAAAAATCAAAGCCAATCGGCCACTGCTGGCCGACATGAAGGCCGACCTCACCGCGAAGGAGGCCAGTGTCGATGCCGAGATTTTGGGAGAGTGGAGAAGGGAACTCAGGATAGTACAACGACGAAGGCTTCGGGATGTGAAGGTAATGGACAGGTATCAAGCGAAGAAACAAATTAGTTGGTACACTCTGCTCTCCATGCCGAGCTCAGGGCTGATTTGGTGACAGTGCCTTCGCGGCTCGAACTTCAGATTAAGCTGGCAGAAGAAGAGGGTGACGGCGGGGACCGCGTTGGCACAGCGGACTGGATTGCCGATGGCCTTAAGCTTGAAGAGCAACAGTCAGTGCTTTGACCGCCTTTTCCGGGTTACTTCTGATCACCCCGCAGACTCGCAATCCAGAAAGACATAAAGCAAATGGGGGCCATTGTGACGGGGGCTCAAGAGTTAAAGCTGGCCAAACGGAGGAAGCCTCTCGAGAGTCAGATCCGGCGGTTCCACCGGCGAGCGGCTGCAATTCACCGAAGGCATGACTGGGGCGTGGCAGAGGAGGAAGCAGTGGATGACGACTCGGCTGCGGAGTGGGAAGACGATCCCAACGATCCCCCAGCACATGCCGACAATCCATGGTCGATCTTTCCCAGTAAACCGCCCGCACCATACCCAGTGAAGGCGGCGGAACATACCAAACTCGGGCTACCTTCGAATTTCACTCGGAATGCTCTTACCGCCAATGGATTGCAACGGTTGGCCGCGCACGAGCTCACTCTGCGGCGCGGACAAGCAAATGATGCCTTGCAGCAGCTTCGGATTCTCATCGGCAAGAAATCGTTTGAGTTCCAGACAACCATTCGGCACGGGAGGAAAGATGGCAACAAGAAGCGCACCCGATCCTTCACCAAGTTGGGTAAACTCGACCGAGCTGTACAGCTTCAAGCCGCAATCTATCGCCGGGCCCGAGCGGCCATGCAAGTGCTCGGCCTGTCTGCAGAGGATCAAGCTAAATATCAGCAGCTCACCCCAGACGATCTAAAGACAGTAACCGCCATTGCTGAGCCCAACAAGGCCGGCCAACGGCACAAGTCCCCCTCGTGGATATGGAATGTTAACGTCGGTGGCGACATACGGAGCAATGACGATTGGGAATCAGTACGTGAGACGGCGGTGGGACATTGAATAACTGCTGACATCGCGCATAGTTCACAGGGTACAGTGGTTCCATGCCCGTTCAAAGGTGACAGATTGGAGGAAGAAGCCGCCATATTGCGCAGGGAGCTTGACTCCGTGTGCCGATACTTTCATCATGAAGCATGCCGGTGGCGGGAACTAGCGACCACTAACTCCGATACCGAGTACCCAGGATTTTCCCAGCACTGCCGAGCACAAGGCGCACTGTTTGATCGCCTGCGTGAAGATGCGAAGGTGGCATGGCGGGATCTGTACCTGGAGCCAAATGTCGTGATGTAGTGGCAGTATAGAAATTTAGTTTGTGATCGTACCACCTACCCGGCTACACAGTTTACATATTCCGAGGGTTGTGACGAGCTGTCTGGCCCCATGGTCCCAGCTCCGAGTCCGAATGCTTGCCCGAAGTCCCGGCCCGAGAGTGTGACCAAACAGTCGGCCCGCGGACCAGTCCGCACTCCCGGCCCGAGAATATGACGAAACTCTCGGCCGGCGCACCAGTCGAGACTCCCGGCCCGAGAACATGACCAAACACTCGGCCCGCGCACCACTCGAGACTCCCGGCCCGAGAATATGACCAAACACTCGGCCCGCGCACCAGTCCAAACCCTCGGCCCGAGAATGTGACCAACCACTCGGCCCGCGCACCAGTCCAAACTCTCGGCGCGAGGTATCAGGCATGCTCTTAGCCCGAGCAATGTTGAGAACTCAAGGCCTCAGTTGTGTGCCCAACTCTCGGCCCGAGCACTTCCCAAACCCTTGGTCCGAGCACTCTTTCAAAAGCTCGGGCCGAGCGACCAGGCAAATACTCGGCCCGGGTTAGGTGAACGAGGTGTTGGCCGGAATGCCGTATGCCTGTATACATAGTGCCCGCGTGGCCTTGGCAGAGGAAAGTCGTATCTTAGAGGGACTGTCGGTGCTCTGGTAATTCATACGAGGACATGAAATGTACTTTTGCCCGGGATGGCATCCTGCAATGTCGCATGCCAAGTAATGGGAGTTCGGTGATCATCCTGGCTCATTTGGAGCAATTGAAAGCACGACAGCAGGAGTACATGTGTAAGCATTTGGAACAAAGGACTCAATCCATCAACATTCCATCCCGCGCCTCCACCACATCAAACAGCAACATAATCCTTTCCAGCCTGGCATCAATCCCGGAAATGTCAAGGGACATTTCGCTGCTCTCGTACGTCACCGACATGACGATCTGTCCACACAGATATCGCCTGATCGAATATGTGTGTGGCCGCTCGGGCACCACTTCGGCATAACTAAATATTAATGTCACAATCTTGATGTACATTGAACCGTGGGAAGCACTCACGGGGTGGACAATGCGAATGGAAGCAATTCCCAGCTGAGGAAAGGAAAGGCTTCGAGCCGGAAAGACTGCCAATGCCAGTCAATGCGCGCGGTGGGATAGGTGCGGACCAATGAGAACGCACCATGTCCATATGGCAAGTCAACACAAGTAAGAGCTTGGTGTGATTGAGGAAGGTGATGGGGGTAAAATATCACAGTTACCATTACAGAAGGCGGGCTGCAAAATGGCCTGTCGGCAACGTGCCACACGTGCCGAGCAGACTATACCCAAGAAGGCATGTCTCCCCGAATGTAATCACGTGCTCAGCATCGGCGATCAGTTGATGATAACGCTTCGCACTCGCATGTTGTCCACACCTACTCCTGTATCGTACACTATCCGCGTTGTCTGGACCGAGCTGCTCAACAACAATGAACACCATGCTCGCCGAACTCCTCGCGGACAGCCAAAGTCACATCATGATTCCGAAGGCCCTCAAAAATCTCGCCGAGGCCAAGCAGAATCCTGCAATGCCCGGCGCGCTTAACAATTTTCTCGTGGGCATCGTAAGCTGCCCCGGTATCGTTTGCTTGTCGTGCAGCTAACATACGACCAATGCAGTCGGTCTCTGCCCTCATGATCGGCCTCCAGGAGCTGTTGAAGCCAGAGGTGGCCGCTACGTATGGTCTTACCGAAGCAATGACCGCTTACTGTGAGATTGTGGCACCCCGGGGAAGCAACGACTTGGCCATTGTCACGAATGTGATCGAGGCTGTATCCGGCATCGCACCAGGGCAAAGTGCGACGCCCGCTCCCACCGGAACCAGCGACACTCCTTCCGGCGAGCACAACGGTAAAGTGTTTCGGTCTAAGCACAAGTTTCCAGCGATGCTAATCCCAGGCACCGGAAGATCAACTGCCGCAAACCGTCCCCGCCCTGCCGGAAAGCAACACTCCGGAAGCAGTTCTGCAGGAGCTGCGTGAAAACCAGCGCAACATGGATCAGATCATCGCCGAGCAGCTCGGAGCGTCGAGAGAACAATACCGCCGTCTCGAGCAGCAACTGGAGTTAGAGAAGTTGCGTGTACGACAATTTAACCACCATTTGCGTTCTCTGCTTATGCACATTTGTGTCGTAGGACGGAGTTACTGTTCGCGCCGAGCAAATCAGCCGGGCATATCTCCCCCGCTTCCCGAACCCCCCGCCCCTCAGCCCGGAAATGATGCCGGGAGGCATGTCGAACGATCTATTCAAGTGGTTCAAGCAACTTGGAGGGGCCATGCAGACAATGGATATCTATATCCAGGCGGAGCTCAACTTCTGGCACGCTGCCGCCCGAGCGAATGCGGCAGAGTGGGAAGCCTGGCAGCGCGGGATGACTCCAAGGGCCCCGGCAGTGGCGTCTCATTTCCGGGTCACTCAGGCTGGTGATGAGTAGTGTAGAATTTGTGTCATTCCACCCATGTTCCATCCATGTGTTTCTCCCACTGCTTGCTTACAATGAAGACATGCACATTTCACCGAGATGACACGCGGTGTTCCCGGCCCGAGGAAACTCAATCTCGGCCGGTCAACGATGTGTAGTCGGGGGCTAGTGAAGTGCACACATGTGTAAAATAGCCGCGGGGTTGAGCACTGGTCTCGTAACCCTAAACACTACGAGTGCCCAAACGAACCATTTCCCCCCCAGCCCAACACATATCCCGCTTTCGAAGTACCTTCACTCCCAAGTGTTCCGCCAATTCACGTCCGGCATCCCAGCCCAGCGATGTACATTCCGTCGCATAAAGTATGCCACACATAATCGCTCCGCCGACGCATGTGGAACATCATGGGGGAGCCGAGTGCCCGAGAATGCGGTGACCGTTCCGGTTTTGTAAGGAAGTCGGAGACCCAACGTCGGGAACTTGATGACCTGGTCGTGATCGCCACCAATCGTCATCAGGATGTCGTACCATTCCTTCGGAGACAGCATGTCCCGATGAACCGGGCTCGCTCGGTTCGTGATTACCGAAAGGGCATTGAAAGGGTTGTGCCACAAATCTACAATGCTGGCCCGGTCCGGGTCGCTTCGCAGAGCTTCAATAGAGGCACGACCGGCGTCATACAAATCCGGGTGCATGATGCGCAGCATGCCGGATATGATGATATGCGGATGGGCCATCTGGTCTAACCACATGCGACCGGCGGGGCCGGTGTTCGGATCGGTGAGCAATCGAGAGACCAGTGGGACGTCGTTGGCGCCCTGCTAAACTTTGAGCGAACAATTCGGGAAGTCTATCCGGAGACGTACAGCGTGTCCGAGCCAGAACCACCCCGGCGAAAACGCGACACACGCCGGCTTAAGGTCGTCCCCCTCCTGCGGCTCCCGGAAATTCTCGATATTTTCCCTCCAGCTTGCACTCGCCTTGGGGCGATTCTGGGAGAGAAGTGGATTGAGACCGATCGTGGCTTGCCATATCGCTCTCTTGTAGTCGGTCATAGACAGTTGGTGGTGGACATATGTATTCTGGCGTACCTGGAAGACCTCCGTGATCACGCCGGGAAGGTGCCACATCAGCACCCGGCCCTGATTGTCAGCAATGGTAAGCGGATCCTGGCAGTCTTCGTATTGCACTCCGGCCAATTCATCATCGTCCGGTACAGTGCATGGATGAGTTGACGCATCCCACTGTACAGTCCCTGCCTGGTGAATCAGTGGATGAGCATGTAGGCGAACGATTGATGAGGGCTCACGGCGATTCCTGTACGCGTCGGCCAGCATCTGCGCTGCACGCCTGGCCTGGCGAACCAGATAGACGTCGAGGAGTAGTCCGGGAAGCGGAGCGGCGCCGGGGCGCGATGCCGGCACCGAGAGGAAGTAGAGGTACAATGCCTCCAGATACGAGCAGTACTGGTTGTGCACTTGGGATACTGTGACCATGGTGGGGATTGATGCAGAGTCGTACGAGCGACGTCGCAAGTCCCCAGACAACGCCGGATGCACGTCCCTGAAAAAAAGCGGCCTCATGGTTACCTTGTGTATAGCATGTGGCTTCCTCATGGCCGAGATAAGGACTCGAAAGGATGGCTGACCCGCAGCATGATCACTACTTATCAACATTGATGGGAGATAATATTATCATCTGCCATCCATTTGTTGACGCATCGTCCAACCAGCCGACGTTCCTTTGGCTTGCCTGATCCAGGGCTCAATTCTAGCGGTAAGCTGGTGCTGTACAAGGCCGGCCGGAGCGTTGGGGACGAGACGTGCCCGGCCGGCCAGCCCTCCGGCCGGAACGCTGGAACGGGCGATGGGATGCTCCGGGTGCACCGCTGGGGGACGCAGGGACAGGGTGCAGGCCGGCCGGAACGTTGGGGACGAGACGTGCCCGGCCGGCCAGCCCTCCGGCCGGAACGCTGGAACGGGCGATGGGATGCTCCGGGTGCACCGCTGGGGGACGCAGGGACAGGGTGCAGGCCGGCCGGAACGTTGGGGACGAGACGTATCCGGCCGGCCAGCCCTCCGGCCGCAACGTTGGAACGGGCGATGGGATGCTCCGGGTGCACCGCTGGGGGACGCAGGGACAGGGTGCAGGCCGGCCGGAACGTTGGGGACGAGACGTATCCGGCCGGCCAGCCCTCCGGCCGGAACGCTGGAACGGGCGATGGGATGCTCCGGGTGCACCGCTGGGGGACGCAGGGACAGGGTGCAGGCCGGCCGGAACGTTGGGGACGAGACGTATCCGGCCGGCCAGCCCTCCGGCCGCAACGTTGGAACGGGCGATGGGATGCTCCGGGTGCACCGCTGGGGGACGCAGGGACAGGGTGGAGGGCCGGCCGGAGCGTTGGGGACGAGAGGTGTCCGGCCGGCCAGTCCTCCGGCCGGAACGTTGGAACGGGGGATGGGGTGCTCCGGGTGCACCGCTGGGGGACACATGGGCAGGGTGCAGGCCGGCCGGAACGTTGGAGACGAGAGGTATCCGGCCGGCCAGCCCTGCGGCCGGAACGTTGGTACGCTACCGTCTGCAACGTTGACCCGGACCCCTCCGGCCGGCGCCGGCCGCACCGTCTTAGACGGCCGAATCTCACTCCGGGTCTACCGTTCGAAACGTCAAATCTTACTCAGTAGGCTCGGGGCCCAGTGATTGGGCATGTGGGCGAGTGTCTGGGCGTGCGGGCGAGCGAACGGATAGGCGGGAAGTCAACAGGCGGGGATGCCATCCAGTCAATAGGCAGGTGGGCGACCGAGCCAAAGGATGGACGGGTGGTCGAAAGAGCGAGTCAGTTGGCGGGCGGACGAGCGAGCAGGCGTACAGGTACGGGAACGGCAATGGGAGAGTGGGCAGACAAGCATATGAGCGGGCAGGTGTGGGGGCAAACATGCCCATGGCACAATGATCCACCTACCGGTACCCTTACACGGGCGTACACTGGCGACAACAGTTATATTGCTTGGTACATGTATCGAGCTGGGGCGCACCTTTACTTTTGGAGCCTTCGCGCTCGCTGTTTCCCTTCTTCCCCGAGTCGCCCTTCCCATTCCAACCACCCTCCACCTTCAAGGTTTGTTTTCGTGTTTGAAGGTCCAGGGGATAGCGCGAATGCATTGACATGCGGGCGGATAGGCGGCTGTGTGAGCGGGCAAGTAGGTGATTGGCAGTGACTGAGAGCGGACAGATGAGTACATGAGCAAGCGAGTGTGTGGGCGGACACGCACAAGGAACATCCGCAGACGAAGGAGCAATGGGCGTGGATACGGGCGAGCAAGCGTGCGTGAATACATTGAAATGGGTGCGAGCAAGCAGATGGATCGACGTGCAAGTAGTGCGAGTAAGTAGCGGCTTGGACTCGAGTCTGGCGGTCGTCGAGAGCGGCGCGCCAGGGCTTGCCTCGGGCTTACCTGGAATGGGATGTTGGCCAACCACTCTGTAGCCGCGGGACTCGTACAGCGCGCATGGGTCGAGAGGTGTCAAAGAGAAAACCCATATTCTAAAGTGAGTCAAACCGGCTTTGGAGCCCTTCAAAGCACTTGGTTAACTCTCCGAGCAATCTTAATTTGAGACTTCGCTGTGAGCTTCACCTTAAATATGTTGTTCTCCTCTGAGCTAGTGGTAGCCGAGAACCGTTCACCGTAGGAATACATGTTTGAGGATTTGTGCATGGCATACAGAGATGGGTTCAATATGAAAAGGTGTCAACTTCAATGGTACTCAAGCGGATTCTACCCACGAGTAGCCCCCGGTGCGGTTTGGAACGTAAGCTACTTCTTTGCCATTGGACATTACCTCCCAAATTTCCACCCCGTCTTCATCATCCGCAACATCCTCTGCCATGTGCGCTGGAGCGTCCACTGGCACCTCGCCCCCCACCACCTCCTCGCTGTATCCAGGCTCTCCCTTTAACGGACGTTCCAGGGTCATGGGAAAGCTGCGGCGTTTGAGGACCCATTCCGCACGCATGTGCAGACGGGGTATAGGAAGGGCGGTGGGCAATACGAAGGGCAGGTCATACATGCCCACCTTCATGCTGCACAAGGCACCCAGATTACGAGTGCCGAGGGCGATATCGCGCGGGTTACTGATGTGGTTGACGTGGGCGTACTTGAATACGGGTATGTGGGAAAGGGGGAGACGAAGGTGGAGCGGGGTGGTTAGAGTGAGCCGGCGGAGAGGAAGAAACATTCCGCTGTCTACATCGTAGACCTCAAATTGCGGTGGGTCTCCGTATTTCCGCTTCTTGAACGGATTGAGTCCAGGCAGCGCTTGCTCAGTGATTGGCTGGCGGAAAGGAAGCTCGATTTCATGATCGTGCACCCTACACATGAGGGGCAACGACATGGGTGGACAGCGATCCTAGGTGTAGGGAATAAGCATTGTGTGAGTGTAGCCAAGATTTGTACGACGCACCTCATAGTATATATATACTTCGACAACACCTCTGCTCCCTTGGCTTTCGAGCAGGCAGGCCGGCAGTCCGACGCTGCGATGCCATTCCTGAACTCCTCCAAGAAAGATGAAACGCTCCTCGCACTGTGACGAGGGCAATTCGGTTAGGAACGGTCCAGCGTCCTTCATGTCACTTGGGCGTGGCTGGACGTTTCGCGCCACTGTCGGGCACTTCTGTCTATCGTAGACAGGACACTGACCCCGAGTGGGCTCATCAGTAATGAAGGATAGTTTCCAAGAAATCTGGGCCACTCACGTATTCCCATAGCGCGCCCCATTTCCCCTGCTTAGATACGGAGACCACGGTAATGTGGTTGATTGCTTCCTGCCACGGACAAGCCTGTGAATCCTCGCAAACGTTACGGAAGCTCGGGAGAAAGGTTGAGTACAAGTATCTGAGGTTGGCGTTTAGCGGCATGGCGGTGGACAGGGGAGGGGGCAGATGAAGTGGAGAGAATGTACTCAGAGACGCTTGGTGGAGGGCGGAAGCAACACTTCCGAGGGTAGCGCCCGGTGCAAAGAGAAGAGAATGATATTATAACTCTTTCACAATTAGAGACCTGCTTTCCCAGTACATTCCAATCGCTCTAGAAGTACACTACATGCATTCCAATTCTTACAACGTACGGAGAATATACGCGCAGCCTTGCCAGTGCATCCACCGCCCTAATCCGGCACTCTCGCACTCCCGCTCACTGTGTATGGCCCTCGCCTACGTCCCCCTAACCTTCTACGATCTCCACGGTGCACTCCGGGTCGTCTTCATCCGGGTGGACGAGCTCCCCGCCGTGAACGCGGGATACGGCATTGAGGCGGCGGCGCCGATAAGGGAAGTTGACCGGCCAGATGAACCGCACGTCGTACATCCCCGCCAGGAGGCTGCACAGAGGACGCAACGGACGGTCGCCAGGACCATACATGTGCGCGTATGGAGTCGCGATGATGTGCGCGTACTTGAACATGATGATGCGGGTAAGGCGAAGGGGAACGTGAATGGGATGATCAATGGAAGTGAGGTCCTGGAACCGCCGTGTCCGGCCGTTATAGATCTGGAAGGTCCTGGGCAATTCACCGGGAACCCGCTTCCAGCGGTTGAGACAAGGGATGACCTGTTCCGTGAGGGCCTGGCGGAGCGGCACCTCAATCTCGTTGTTGTGCACCCTGCACAGCAACGGGAGTATCAAGGGCTCCACGTCCTCCTACGGGCCTTGTGTGAGCCTCCTTAGTTGCTTTGAGATCATTGTAATACACGCACCTCGTAGTAGAATAGCGCCTCCACCACCGCCTTCCTACCCTCCGCTCTAAGACAAAGCGGCACTCCCGGGCTTCTGTTCCAACTCGATATCGCGCCGATGAATGTGAACCGCGCCTGCCAGTTCTGCGGCAGCAGGGTGTAGATATACGGACGGGCGATGGCAACATCCACCCGGTCAGGCTGAATGGCGCACTTCCTCGTCTTGCAGAGTTCAGACATGGGGCACTGACACTTTTTCATCAGTACTCTACAGCCAGCGAATGTTCTGACACTCACGTATTCCCACAAGGTCCCAATTCCCATCGTCCTCGAGACTTGGACCACAACGAGGTGGTTGGCAGAGCCCGGCGTCGTCGTATTGGGGCACGTCAGGTCGGTTCTGCAGATATCGCGAAAGGATGGCAGGAACGTCGACATGTGGAAAACTACGCGGGGGTCTAGGCAAGCCATGGTGCAAGACGATGGACGGCAGCTCAAAGGGGAAGCAGGGTGCGTAGAAATCCTTTTGAGAGTGATAGAAAGACGAGTCAAAGCGTTCGGGGACGCGTGAGACACACCAAGACATAGGCGCTTCCCACTCATGTGTATTTTTTTGCATTCTCGTACTTTTACACTAGGACATTGTTATTCAGTCTTCAAAAAAATAGTACACAGACGGTTACAAAGATGGGATGTACATGTATTCAGATCTCCTCAGTCCCCCACGGCCGTCTCACCATCCCAATCCTCCGCATCCGAGGCCGCATCCGAGTCCGCATCCGAGTCGGCATCCGAGTCGACATCCGTGTCCGCATCCGAGTCCCCATCCGCTGAGACCTCATCTTCTCGAACGTTCATTCTCTCCACGGTACAGTCCGGATCGCCCTCCGCTGGCGTGAAGACGTGAGGCCGGTGGTTGCCTTCAACCCGGACCACGGACAACGCGTTGATGCGGGTCCTGGGGAAATCGAAGCCCACGGGCCAGATGGACGGGCGGGGGTACATGTTGGCCAGGATTCCGCCCAGAGCCCCTGAAGGGCGGATCCCTTTAGCCCAGTAGAGGGGCCACATGGTGTCGTAGATACTCTCGTATTTAACGAGGATGACGTGCCGAAGGGGTAGGGGGATGCGAATGGGTTCGTTGACGGACCCGAGGGGAATGAACTTAGCTTGCTGGACGTCGTAAATGTCGAAGCGTGCCGGGTACTCCTTAGGGTCCCTCTTCCAGCCATTGAGGCATGGAATGACCTCCTGAGTGACCGGCTGGCGGAACGGCAGCTCTATCTCCCAGTCCCCATGTACACGGCACATGAGGGGCAGCTGGATGGGCGCAACGTGATCCTGCCCAGTTACTTTGAGCCCTGTATACATACACGCAGAGACTGACAAACTCACCCGGTAATAAAAGAATACCTCCACTATTCCTATCTCGTCCGTCCCTCGAAGGCACTCCGGGAATTCGGGGCTCTTGTGCCACGCCTCGATGCCGCCGACGAAAATGAATCGGTTTGGGCCCTCCTCCGGCAGTGCAGCGTTGATGGACGGGCGCGCCGCGGCAACCTCATCGTCGTTCGGCTGCAACTTGCTGGGCAAGGTACGGCAGGGTTTGACAGTCCTCGGGCACTATGTATGCTTCTGTCAGTACTCAACAAGACTCATCATGGAACTTGTAACTCACATGGCTCCACAGGGTCCCCAGACCCGTCCTCGATATCTCAACCACGGTGAGGTGGTTGAGGGAACCCTTCTGCACATGGGGGCACCGCTTGACCTTCTTGCAAACGTCGCCGAAGGAAGGAATAAAGGTAGAGATGTGGAATTGAACGCGAGGATCCAAAGAAGCCATGATGGTGGACGGGTGGACGGTGAAGAGGATAAGAGAGAGCAAAAGCGTTTTCAGAGAGTACGAAAGCCACGCCAAAGCGTTGAACGAGGCGTGAGAAGTGATTAATTTACCACTAGCGCCGAACATGGGACCCATTGGCGCTCCCAATTTTGTAGGCGTAGAATGCTGCACTGGAGACCAGGATTAACTGTACTTGTTATTAGAGGCTACCAAAGTGTTTGGTACGCATACAATCCACCCCAGTTGTTAACGTAGAAAGTACTAGCCGTTTCTAACACGTTTTCCGATGACCAGGAGTCGGGAACAGTGCCGCGAGGACCGCCGGGGAAAACGGGTGTAAGCTGACAGGATTGCCGGATCTGCGACAGGGGAATAATCTTCCCCTGTGGCAGACCATTGCTTGAGGACGGCGGTTTCTTGACCGAATACATCAAGTGGGAGGAGTCAGCCGCAGGCGCGAAGCGAGTGTACCACTCTACATACGCGAGCGGACCCCGTGGCCACCATGGAGGTGCAGACCCTCCGCCTTGCACCGCAGGGAGCTTGCGCGGTAGAGCGAAGATAACCTTCACTCTCCCCGCTCTTGTCCCTGTATACATAATTAGCCGTTCAGCAGGTGGGTATAGAAACAATTACTTACCTCGTACGCCGGTGGACTCCGCATCTCCGCTCTCCAACACGATGACGGTGTCGAAGCGGTCTTTCCGCCCTGATCGCACCGAAGCCGGTATGGCCTTCACAACATCAATGTCAATCCTCCCGTCGTCCAGCTCGTAAGGTGTGAATGCGAATTTGTGGAAGACATCGACGCGCTGGAACGGCAGCCACGTTCTGGAGAGGTCTTGTCTGTTGAGTCGGAGTGAGTCAGGCTGCAAAGCGTTGATGAACTGAACGAGTGCGGTCGTAAATCCGGGTGCGTGATGGCGGGTTTGAACCATAGCTAGGTTTTGTTGAGGAGCAGGTGCGTACTTCGCTATTTTGATAGATGTCCCCGCTATGTCCACGCCTTCCGTTGTGACAGAGTGGGGAGGTTCTTCTGGTACCGATGAACCGGTCTCGGCATGTTCTTCGTCCTCCGGGTGTTCAGCATCCTCCTCCGCTTGACGTTCCCTCTGGAACATCTCATAGAGAGCCATCTTCTCGTTGCGGGTGATCCACCGCATCATTTGCGGGAACTCGTCGCGGTGGTTTGATGCTCGCCAAGCGTCCTTCGCGAAGTCGATGTGAAGTCGCTCGAACATCTCCGTGTTGTAGTTATCCGTCGTCCCGAAGAGCCGGATGGACTGGACATAGTGCAGAAGGGAGTGGATTTTAGGTATGTTGAAATCATCCCGTATACCGAGGTCGACCAACACTTGCTTGTTGGCATGGAACGTCTTGAGTGCATCCTCCATGTATTCCAAGGTAGTGTCGTCATGCGTGGGGTACTGCGCTAAGTAGATGAAATCCAACAGAGACCTGAAGGTGAGCATTGTTGACTTTGAGACCTTGCCAACGAGACATGCGAGGAGGACTCGAGCCATTTCTTTCCTCTCTTCCCAGATATCTGAGAAAGAGAGGAGATGCCGTTACGGAAATGACGGATGCCGTACGCAGGGGCAGGCATCGGAGGCGGCTGTCTAGTTCCTCTGCGGTGAGAAGCTCTTGACACCAAGTGACGACGTGTTTGAACACCCCCTGGTAAAGCTGGTGGAGAACATCTGGTGTTATGGATAGATGTATGTCTGCGTAAGGGAGATTGGTCCAGAACGGCGACCGCGCCGCACCGTTCACGTCCCGTAGCATGCATTCGACTTCAGCCGCAGCCGCACTGCGACCACCCGACCATGCATCGTCGATGATACTCTCTGTGAGCTCGGATGTGCGAGGGCTGCTCGGGTCTTTCTCCCCGAGCTTGTCCGCTGGACATTGGCACTTCGGGCAGGTCCCGTACTTCGAGCAAGTGACGAGGCATTGCTCGGGGTAGTCAGCGACATATGCGGCGAGGATAGGATATATCCTGCGCACGCAGCCATCACCTCCGGTCATCTCCACACCTTCGACACCAGCTTTGATGAGGGGCTCGACAATGAGGCGCATGGAAGCGTGGAAGAGCTTCTGCGTTCGAGCCTTGCTTTCGCGATTGGTGAGGCCCTTCTTGCTGACCTTAGAGACAGGCAGGTACCCAAGAAGGATACAAGCGTGCTCGGACGGTTTGCGGCGGATGGCGCGGGGTATGTTGCCGAGGGTGAGGTAGACGGGGTAAGCAGACTTGTTACCGGAAAACTGTGTCAGCTGAGTCTTGTCGGTGGCCAATATGACTGACGCGAGGGCGGCGCCCTCAGGTAAGTGTTCCTAGCACGGAACATAGCATTAGCAACATTCTACTGGTTGTACCATTGATGAGCTGTCTGACTTACCTGTACGGTGTCCCACCAGAGGCCCGTCCACATCTCCGTGTATATGCGCCTCAACCGCGACTGGTCCGCAAAGACTCGTTTGGGCCGGTATACAATATGTTTGGCATGCGCTGGATTGCCAACCAAGGCCTTAATCGCTTCGATGATGTCCCTGTACCGCACCATGTGCTTCTCATCTGGTCGATCAGGGAAGGTGAGCGTAGCAGTCTGCCATGATGCTCGGTCCGGGATGCTGTCCACCTTCTGGAAAAGCTGTCGGACGTCTTTGAAACTGAGTTCCAGCTTCTCAACAACCTACGCAAAGACTCGTAATGAGTGATTAAACCCACACAGGCGTGGCCAACTCACCCCCGGTATGAGAAGAAACCTGTTCAGTGAGTTCTGCCCGACGTCTTCTCTGACAGCCCACATTGCCACCCGCCAATCTAGCTCGGATGCAAAGGGCTTCCACTTGAGGTTAGGATCCTTAGCCGCTTGCTCATCCACACCCACTCCATCCACATCCATTGCGTCCTCGGGAGGGTCCTCTTGCTCAACATCCTCTCCAAAATAAGCCTTCCACGTGTCGACAACGGTCTCCTCCATTCTGATTACGCACCCCGCTCGGGGTCTTCATCCTCCACCCGGGTGTCTTCGTCGTCATCCAGAGCTGGCAGTCGAGCTGTCGGGGGAGGCCGAGAACTGGATGAAGACGAAGACGCTTCACCCTGGTCTCCGTTGGGCCCATCATCAACAGTAGAAGTAGGCAGAACGAACCGGAACAGATCCCTGTTCTCCATGATGTCATGGAAATCCAGTGGTTCCTCGTCCGCGTCGCTCGAGTCCTGGATAACGGCGTGTACCTGTTCCACAACTTCAGGTACCAGGCGGTCGTGAGGAACGGGGTTCTTGCCCTTCCTGTACCATTTGCAGGACTTTGCAGAGCTCAAATGAGCCATCATGCCCTGTGCTGTCCTGAATGGTCTGTCGCATGCCGGACAGGTCCTGTCGTCGTAATCCCCTGGGCGGAGGAATGGTACGTTCATCTTGCACTGGCCAGTCAGTAGAGGTCAGTACATGATCCCTGATAGAGGATATTTCACACAAATCTCACCGGGACAGTATGACGCTCTGGATGAGATGAAAAGCGTAAGAAAAGCCTTGGGAAGAATATGAGCGACGGCGCGTGGTCTCCGCTCAGCGTCTCATACTCATTCAGTCGCTTAGACGGACGTAAACGCCCATGTTACGGCGTGGATATGGGCTTCTCCACCACCGCTTTTTTGTACCCACCTCCATGATCTATGCCACCGTCATTAATATCCTTACAGCTATAGAACTTGGGCAAGCGTATCTGCCGCATCCATGGGTGCTTTATCACTGTAGGATTTATTACGACGCCTTGCCTTCTAACTGGTTGTCTCTGTGAGCACTGATACCTCCGTACCTCTGACATTTTATTAAGCTATTGAAGTTACTCACCTGTACGTACTTTTCACAGTCTCTCGGTATTGATTGCATTGCGTGAGTGCCGTTGCATATCTCGTTGCATTCTGAATGGTGTGAAGGCTTACCGGGAAAGGGTCTTGGACATTCCATGTCCACCTTCCTTTTTGGGCTGACCCTAAGAAGTTGCCGCGCCCCCACAAACCGCAAGAGCCCACCGTGTATTTCGAGCTATATATGCCGGACGGTCTGTCGCAAAAATTGTACGTTCATGACGTTCATGCTGCCTTCTTCTGATGTGGTCCCATCAAGGTATCCCTATGTCGTCAGTTGGTAGAAGCGAACTGACTGAAATGAAAGCGCACAGATTGACACCGCACTAGTTGTGGTCTGTTGTCCCGATTCAATTTCCCATGAACGAGACAAGTGCCGACAACTTGAACGGTGACTCCCTCACTCCTCTTGCAGCCACGACATACACTCGCTCTCAACATGGCGACGCCTCGCCGTTCTGTTGGCTTTCCTCACGCAAGGAATCTCTCTGGCTCTGATACGGATATCGACTCCGACTCTGCCGGGGCAACCGACTTCGGTTCTGACATTGACGGCAGTCAGCCGTCTTCCGAGATCGACTCCACCCCTCTGCCTCAAACTCCTCCTCAGATCAACCGTCCTATCAAGGTCGCCTCTGACTGGTCTCCGGCCAGCCCGGTCAGCGTGCAATCGTTCGATAACAAGGCGCATCGCCTCACTCGACCTCTCGGTGCGGAAAGCTCTCAGCGGACCATCGTCTCGGAACCGTTACCGTCGGAGTTCTGGGCCATTTTGAAGAAGTTTGAAGTGAATCCGGTGGATCACGATTTCATGGTGTACGTATTCGAGGAGATATGGAGCTTGCGGGAAATTTGGGAGCTCTCCAACCCCGATCACTTCGTGCAGAAGGTGAGATGTCAGTCTCACATATCATGAATGGTTGGTGTCAATACTCAACCTCAGGACATACCCCACATTGAGGAACGTCGCTGCTGGGTGCTGCAGGACATACTGTCCAAACTCTGGCAGCTGAACCCCGCTTATCCCGACGCGTCGGACAATGAAGACACATCAATGCTCCACGCTAATTTGGATGACGACGACGACGTTTCAATGCACCACACTGATTCGGACGATGATTCCTACCAACCTCGGCTCAGCATGTGGTTAGCTTTCCTTCAACGCGTGCGGTGAGTTCCAAGAACACCCTTTTCTCTTATTCCGGCTAACGCGTTACACAGCGTTGACTTCTGGCCGGAGTCTCGGAAAGCAGTGGTTCTGGGACCCACCGTTCATGGACTTCCTCCATCGCCATGGCCCAGCGTTTCGCGAGTCTCCTCAATAGGAGTGCATTTCGGGTCGAGATGCAGGATACGTTCATGACTTCTCAATGCGATCTTCTCACCGTCGATGTACAGTTCCGCATGAGGGGCGGGTGGTTAGGACTATCAGGAAGAAGGATGAACTCGGAACTGAGTTCTTCTTTTGCATGGGGTGCAGTCAGTGGGGGAGCTCCAGTACGAGATGAAGAAGGTATGTCCAAGCCTCCAAGCTGTTACAGTTAACAAGGATTCATGAAAGGAACAGATGGCCGGGGCTTTGGACCTCATGTCCACCCTTCAAGGCTTCGTTATCGCGCTGGTTGTCCCAACCAGCACGGGTACCGGGTATCACTCGCCCCTCCTAGCTCTGGAAGAGGATATGCCCGCCTTACAGGCATGCCTCATTTCGTACGAGCGGGCTGAGTTCGGCGACTTCCGCACATGTGTGGAGGAGGCGCGAGGCTTAGAGGACTGGGAGAAGGAGACATCGCACTTCTTGGTAAGATTGGGTTCACATCTATGGGTCACCGTACTCATCCTTGCACAGAGGCTCCTTGCCTGGCAGCCTCACCTTCCTGCGTCGCAGCTGCAAACCAGCCCAGTGGATGGGCGCGGATCCTCAAGGATCGGTTATATTCCATCATACACTCATACAGCTATGCTCATCTGGGCATCACGCCTCTTGATCGCGCCCTCAAGCGCGCCATCCCCACGGAGCCCCAGTGGAAGGAGCGGGTGGACCTCCTCGCCCACGAATGCCTCAATGACATCATCTTCTTCCTCGACCAGTCCGTCGGGCATGTAGCGCATGAGTTCGTCGGCGGACTCAGAGGTTTCGAGCGGGGAGCCCTGCTGGAGACGACCCCCGTCTGGTCCTCGTAGATGAGTAGATTATCGCATCATCTATCTATGTATACCCTCCGAACTTTGTACGAGCGTATTGTATGTGTATCGATCCATTATCCGCTTCCCTGTCACAAAAGCTTCCTTGTGAGAAGCTTCCCGTGGGCGGCTCAAAACCAGCGCCGGAAACGCGCGGGCATTGCGCCCATGAGGAGCGACCTTTCCCTCTGTGCTCTGTCCTCGCCCCCAAGCTCAGCATGGCACCTTATAAACCGCCCTCCACTGTGCATGAGACCCTGGTAAACATCATCTTTACTTACGTCTGCAACATGCTCCGCCAGATCGGCCATCACCCCCAATTCACACTGCAGCACCAACTCCTGGCACAGCTTACCATGCTTATCAAGGGCGACCCAAACACCATTCCCGACGTCGTCATCTCCTTTCCATTTTCGTTCATGAACTTCCATCTGATCATGATCGAGGTTTGCGTCTCGGAACAGCCCCTCACGTCTTCAAGAAGGTAAGTAAATACTTATCATACTCGCTGTGCTAAGATCAAAGTGACATGAACAATTCCAAAGGTGGCCAAGCTCATTCGACAGGCAGTCGGGCCATTATTCGCTTTCATGTTCCTGTTTGTTCGGGAACGCCACGAATCACGGGCCCCTGGGCAATTCGAAGGGTACCCGAGTATCATGCGTCAAAGCTGGACGAAAGCGCGTGCCACTGGGGATGAAGGGGAGGAGGCCCTCGGTGAGTGGACCCATCAGGACAAGACACAGGTGTCCCGCCGAAGGCCGGGAAGCCACCGCCCCAAAACATTCGCCCCGTCTTTCCCGCAGGAGACCCGGACCAGCCGCACTCTATCGAGGTCAAAGAGCACTGGTCGGCATTCGCATGTCCGCCTCGTGCCCTACATGGCGTCCTCCTGCATGAGCCATGAAGCTAGACGCCGTCATAGTTCTCCGCGACCGATTTGATGAGATACTGGAGGAGGTGGACAGGGGGACGACCATGGAGAAGATCGTAGATCGCTTCCCGACCGTGGTGAGTGGACTTACCTTCATTCTCGTGCCGTTCCCCTCACAAGAGGTCCGACCTAGTCCTTCAAGATGGATCCCTCTCCGGAGTGGATTGGATCTATCTCCCCCGAGCAGGAGTTCTGGCGGGAGATGTTGCGAATGTGCGTGCTCACTCGGAGAACGTTTAACGCGATGGCGTTGAACATGGGAGGCTTGAGTGGTCCTCGGCCCTTGTACACCGTCCACCGCAATCGCTCCGCCCCGCTTGCCAATGGATGGCACAGCACCTCCCTGGTTACACCACTCGAGAGTTCATCCGTCGGGAAGACGAGGTGTTCGAGGAGGTCGTGGTTTTGTTAGCTGTCAACTGACCGGGGAAGCCTTGAAGGTGTTTCACGATTCCATGGTCCAGCGACTCTCTCGAGCGGCGATGCAGTGGGCAGACAGCAGACTGATGGACGCATTGGGGTAGATTAAGGATGTATTCACCGGTATTCTATTACACTGCGCACCGATTTGTAACCTTTTGTATGCATTACGGTCTAGCGTGCTCTCTTCGCAGTTCCAATGTTCAATATCAATGTCCCGATCCACCATGTCCACTGGCGCCTAACTCCAAGTCCAACTCACCGCCGATCATGACCACACACCGGGCAAGTATGCCTGAGCTTGACGATAGCAGAAGCAGAGGCTCTTTTAAATCTTCTGGACGACTTGCCGGTCTCGACGCAACCTCTACAAGGCGTTAGGGAGAGGCTTGCCCAGTCCCCGAACATCCAGCCATCTTCCCTTGAGGCGACTTCTTGGGACACAATCACGCCAGCATCCAGTCGACGTCTGCGGCTCAGGCTCCGCATGTACTTGCCAATGGGGAGGGTCTGGAAGGTGCGCAGTATGCAGTATTGTTATCAATTGACAGCCCAAGAGATCACGCACTGCAGAAGTCTCGTCAAGCGCGTCCAAAGTACGAAAAAGCATACCTCAAAATTGGCAGCTTCGAGCAACAAGAAATCTGGGAAACGTGCAGATCAGGCCTTCAAGAGCATCAAAAATTGCTCTAAAAAGAAGAGTAAGTCTACCGCTGCAACGGCGGAGAAGCAGTCAGGGCCACCGGCTCTCAATGGATGAACACACATGCCCCGGAGGGTACAGTTTCAGAGCCGGTTAAGAGCTTCATCAACGGCCTCGATGCTTCCCTCAGTGACAACAATTCGCTGTACGCCATTGTGGAAGCATTGCAACGAGATGGGGATAGAGAACCGCGTTCCTGGACGATTCCCTCTCATCCATCATACAAAGGTGCAAGCGTATGACGGCCGTCAGTGCCGCCACCGACTTTCTCTTCATGGTGCAGTACCTGCAGCTCGTGTTCAGTGCTCTAGGTGTGTTTTATTTTATCATAACCCCACTGTGCCACCGAGTTCCAGTTGACATTTCCTTGTATCTAGTCTACAACATCTCCATTCGCTGAGCGTTAACGGTGTCTACGAGAAGCAAGTCAAGCATCTAGACAACCCCGTGTGCGATCGTACCTTCCGTCGTTGGGTGGAATGTGGGAGTAAATTTGCCATCATGGCGTGGGGAGGTACGTCACTATTTTATTCTTCAATGCTCCTGTCAATAAACTTGTGTAGGTTCCATATACATTCTCATGCTCATCGCCATAGCGGATATGAAGCACAGTCTTCTTCATCCGGTTGGCAATTTTGCCTGGCAGGTTGCAAGTGTACTTCGCAATCCAAATCCTGGTTAGCCATCCGTTTCCTTGGTATGACGGGTTCCATCACTCACCGACCACTTCGTTTCACTAGAGACGGCTGTCGGTGGGGTTGTGATCAACAAAATCATTCCACTGTTATCAACTCTGCGACAAATACTCCCACTGACGTTCGACACCCTCTTATCACCCCGTATATGTGCGGATTATGGCATGCTACACGATTCGCTCATCTGCTCCGACCTGGATCGATGTGATTTAGTTTTCACTTCTTTGAAGCTCAAGTGAGTGCCATGTCCATTGTTGTCGACTCTCTACGTCATGTATCTTTATTCCCCACAGTAACTTCGGCCCGGTGCCGCGCAACAAGAATGTGTGGCTGGCCTTCTATCAGCCCCTACAGGCCCCTAAGGAGACCCAGCTAGTCATGTTGGCTGGACGATGGCTCTACGGTTCAGATAACCAAGAGAATGAAGCCCCTCCCTCTCCATTGACGGTTTGCGACGAACCCTTGGAGGGAGAGGAACCAGGACCAACCGCTACGCCCATCTCTGCGCCATCAGCCTCACAGTTTACCGCACCATCAGCCTCACAGTTTACTGCACAGCGCCCTGCAAGAATATCGCTTACGGCAGCTTATGACCTGTTCCACGAAGCCCATAGAAGAATTCCAGTCCCAGCCACTGCGGATGAGGCGTTCTCGTGGACAGAGAGAGAGCGCGGCCGGGCGAACGCCGCCCGGGAGCCTCGAACCATCGACGAGCTGCGATATATTGTAAGTTCGTTCAAACACCATCTAACTCTTTGACTTACATGCTACACTACGTTGGCTTGTTCAGCTCTCAACCATGTATGAGGAAGGCTCGCGCATCAACAATGATAACAAGTATGTGAAGATTGCACCCACCATGTCCACGTGAGTGCTTTTCACGTCAACTCTCAACAATGATATTGAATTCTTGTACAACTGTTGCAGAGACCCTGTTGAGATCCGCGACCGCAAGGGCTCGCTTATCATGTGTATCTTTCCGAACATGCCAGAGAAGTTGAGACACAGGCTGTTCACGGATCTCGTCTCTTGTTTCGATGAGGAACCTTCTGGACTTGAGACCATGAGCTCATGCTCCCAGGGGCCGCAGTACTCTTTCGAGGCGCTGCATTTCGCCTGGTACAATAGGCATGGCACAAGGGTATGTGCGCCCATGCCTCACTTGGTTTGTTTTCCGTTATAGCTGAGAGTGTTATGTGATCCCATAGGGCTACCAAGTTTGCAGTGAATCGCATCCGCACCTCATTCGAAAGGCGGACCGCTCCAGGACCAACTACAGTCAAATGCTGCCATACCCCTCCGCTGACATGCACAAGCATGAACGGGTCTACCACAATCTTGAGCACATTTTTGCCGAGGTGTTTGGATGGATCAGAGAGCAAGTACGTCAGATAATGACATTTCTCACTGTTCTATCCGTAACTAATGTGTACCAGATCCAAATTTTGTTTCCCCAAGAATACGCGGAGATGAGCGTTGACGCGGAAGTGTTGCCAGGGAACGCCGGCTCGATTGTGCACCCATTCCTCTCGCTCGTCATTAACCTGAATGTTGCCACTTCCGCTCACAGGGATTCCATGGACAAAACATTGTGCGTTGTTTTGCCCATTGGTGACTTCGAGGGCGGGGACCTATGTATGTACGAGCCCGGTTTCGTGGTTCCCCTTCGCAATGGCGATGCTGTGGCCTTTCCTTCTTTCAGTATAACTCACTTCAATCTCCACTACACCGGCTGCCGTGCTTCTATTGTACTACACACGGACAAGGAAATAGACAAGTGGACGAAGGGCAGCCGGAATGGGTGGGAGGGCAATGTATATTTTAAATAGGGTTTTTAATATTACGACACGTACGTACGTCTTCGGTTGCCACCAATTGATCTGGCTGTCATGCTCGCTCCAATCTGTTCGTCTTGCATCTCTCTCTCTTCGTCCATGGTCTAGGTTGTAAGTACCCTAAACTCTTCATCAAGCGTTGCTCAGATGGTGAGCAGCTTCTGGGACTTGGAGCTTTCGGACTCAGTCAGTGCTTCACTCCGCATCTCCGAAGGGGCTTCGGTTCTTCCGTTATCGACAGCGCGGACGCTCAACGCTGGTTTGAGTCGTCGACCCGCCTCGCAGTTTGTCTGTCTCCGATCTCATTCTGCGAACTCATATCTAGTTGTTGCCTCATACCATGTCTACTCCGCAGACACGCTCCAAGGCTGCAGCAGCAGCGAAGACCACGAAGAAGGCTCCGAAACCGCCGTCAAAGGCGAATGGCTCCCAGAAGACTCAGTCCGATGTGGTTTCCGATTCCACTGTTGCCAGCAGCGGGGACATACAGGAGATCAAGGACTTCTTGAAGACAAAGATGAGCGGTGCATCGGCATCGCAAATCAACGCCATGGCTCGCTCCATCGCAAAACAGAGGAAGGAAGCAGCGGCGAAAGAGAAGCGGCAAAGTAAGATTTTACCGTGGCCAGATCAATCGAAGTATACTACATCTTGTTGCAGCAATCCAGGATAACAACGCGGCCGCGATGGAGCAGGATGACCAAGAGGGAGAAGATGATGCCGAGGCTGAAGCTGGAGAGGATGAGGAGGATGAGGAGGATGAGGATACGGTGCCGTCCAAGTCAACAGGCAAGGGGGAAAGAAGAAACAACGTGAGTACATGCGCCTGCCAACACATGGACTGACACTATGATATAGTCTCAGCGCCGGCGTCGCCCTCGCGTACGAAAGCCTCTAGCACTACCAAGAGGAAGCACCTCCAGACGTCCGACCAAGAGGCGAGCGACACAGAAGAACGCACGAAGCAGCCTAAGAAGAAGCCAAGAACTCAAGCTTCGCGCAAGTCAGCTCGAGTTGAATCCCCGGAGCTGACTGTCGTGGAGGACAATGCGAGGATCATCCCCAGTAAGTGTCATTGCATTGTCTATGTGCATATTCCCGGACCAAGTCTGCACTCATGTCTTGAAGACCGGTCGCCCCAAAGGGCAAGAGAACCCGAAGTTGTCATCACTCGTCTGCCCGAGAAGCCTGCCCCGAAGGTGTCGAAGGATCAGCAGCAGCTCTCCGCTCTCATTGGTAAGCCACTCACAACCAGTCGTCCATCATTGCACACATGGAAGATACGCAGGGATGAAAGCGGTCAAGGTCAAAGGAAGTATGGCTAAGGGCACGGTCAAAGGTGGGGTCTCAGATGGCAGTGATGGGAGCGAGAACGGGGACGAGGAGGATGGCGGTGAGGATGTAGGAACTCCTGAGCCTGTCGGTGAGTTCACTCTGCTGTATATGTCATTCACCGCTGCACGTGTTACAGTGTTCGACACGACCCCCACGAAGAAAGCTGGATGGAAAGGCAAGGGGAAGGCAAAACAGGCATCACCCGTGGACGAATCCGAGGGGAGTGGTACAGAATCCTACAAGGTCTCGGATGAGGATGATCAGCTGGAGGGGAGTGAGGGTAACGGATCGGATGGACGTGATCCCCCCACTCGCAGCGGCGCTGATGAGGTATGCTTATATCGCCACGGGGACCCTCTGCTAACTTGAACTTCATTCTTAGATGGACGTGAAGCTGGAGGGCAAGCAGAAGGCGAAGACGAAGTCTCAAGCTCGGTCCAAGTCTGTGAAGGTGGAGGACGAGGAGTCTAGGGACGATACCATTGAGGTGTCCAAGGAACTCCTCAACGAGGAGCCTCTGAAAGGCTTCTTGCACCGTGCGACCCAAGAGTTTCGGGTATACCTCGCCGTGGTGAACGCCTGGCCCCGCAAATACGCCAGCAGCATGGAGAAGAAGCAAGCCCCGCTAGAGGTCATCGAGCAAACACAGAAGAAGTACCCGATGTACCAAACTAAGCAGTTCAAGGCCATCTACGATCCCGTGTGGGAGAACATGGGAATGTGGGAGAACATGGGAATGAGGGCCATCATGTCGGGGAAGGTGAGTATATGTTCCGTTATCTCATCCTCTGGGCTAGGGGTAGACCCATTTGTCCAGGTCTACAAGGTCGCTGCACAGTTCCGCCAGGAAGTCAAACAGAAGGCGAAGCGGGTGGTTGAGAAGTCCTTCCTGACGTTCAACCTGTCGGACTTCGGGTCCAGTGCAGAGAAGCTTCGGAAGGCTACCGAGGATCGTGTGAGGTTCCTCAAGGACAAGGACACCTTTCACCACGGAGACCTCCAGATGCCAGATTACAGGGTGGATCCATCGGTACGTAGTATACTCACATTTACATGCTGGAGAATGCTGAAATAAAATTAGCTGTGGGTGGCTAACCATCGAGCCCCCTTCCATAACGTGGCGATTGCAGAAATCATAGCACGTCAATGGTGGATGGGAGCCAATCCGGAGGCTCTGCGCCCCGAGCATAAAGACCGGTTCGACATCAACAAGATCCCACTCTCCAGCAATATGATCGCACTAGTGTGCAGCGCTGTAGGCACATTCATCTTTCATGTACGGTCTGTGGATAACATGATGTGCGCCAGATTGTTGTGTCTCTCGACGAGGCCATGAAGGGGAACGTCACGGTGGCTTTCGACGAGAAGAACTATGCCCCCCTGTGAGTCTCATACCAGTAGCATGCCGGCCTTGACTGGCTGACGGAGTGTATCTCATAGGCACGATGGTTTCAAGCTCAGCATTGATGAGCTTCGGTTGAGCGCGGATCCCAAGAACACGACGGTATACAACGAGGGTTGCGCAAGGTTCTGCAAGTCCATGGACCAGACACTTGCCACGCACATTCGGTGAGTGTCCTGTACTATCTACCAGAGTTCCTGACCTTCCTACCTGCATTAGTGTCACTGCGGGAGTGGCCCCTGACGACAACCGTGGGGCCGTGGATGAGAAGGGTAGGAAGAAAGTAGGCCCTACCACCGCGGTCTCCCTGATCAGCAAGCTCTGGGCCCCCACCAGTGACGATGCTGGGCCGAGCAACTTCTCACAGAGTGACGAGTAGACGGCGAGTGAGTCCTCTTAGAGAGGGTTTCAATTCATTTTCATTTATGGTCGTACTAATCTACAACAATGATCCTAGGTTCCCCGCTGCATCCGAGCCCTGCCCACCCGTGCTCCCGGATTATGACTATCTCTTCTCCTGGTTCTGTATGTCTCAATATCGCCCATGTTGTCGTATACTTATGCCTTGGCCTCCTCTTGATGTTTCACTGTACCAGCTGTACGTGTCCCATTTTCCAGCCGTATACCTGTCATCATGTAACTTCCTACATTGGCTGGAAGTCAGTACTGTATAGCTTTCGTGGGTTCCAGTTCTGTATTAGTGGTATTGCATAGTGGTCCAATGTATGCTTTTTTTCGCCGCAACGTGGGGAGCGCCAGAACCACCAAAAATGAGTAGATTTGAAAGCCATCAGACAGCCTCTTTTTAGTGTTAAACAGAGGGTCAAGAGCAGAACAACAGAACCTCCAAAGCATGACAAAAGGGAACAAAAAGCACGGCAAGAGGATCATCACCCGCCTGAGGGAGCTGGTGTAAAAGCATCCAATAATGCTTTGACAATTTTCCAAGTGTTCGGCCTTCTCATAACCGGGGACTTGTCTTGAGTGTTCTTCTGTTCACTTTGACCGGTTTAATGCTTTTAAAGTAGTTTATAAGTGTCTTAAAGGCTTTAAGGGAATGGGCGGTTTCCCCTGATGCAGATATCCTTCCGCATCAGGACCATCTGTGCCCCTGAGTCCAGGATGCACGCCGCCCTTCCGACGCCATTGATCAGCGGCCGCAGCTCCCGCAGCGTCAAGGAGTCCCAGTACCCGCTGTCGAATACGTTCCCTCCGCTAGACAGCTCGGTGGTCCCCACGTTCCACACCGCTTCCTCCGCCATGCCGGCGACCTGCACACGTTGCGTCTTGATCTGCTCGTCAACTACCTTCCGAAACTCCTGGCTGATCTCGAGAATCTCCCCCAGCTCGCCTTCTGATCGCTCTCGTACATCATCCGCCGCGCCAGATCTTCGGCCTTCGCTCGAGGGTCCTTTCCCTCGTTGATCTTCGCCTGGAACCGATACTGTGGTTCGGCCGTCCGCCCTTTCCCCTGATCCTTCGCCACCGGGCCTCCTCCGCTCGTTCCGGCTGATACCCCCTTTGCTGGGATGCCCGGCGGCTTCCCAACCGCCCCGCGCACAGTTCCTCCGCTGGGCTTGCTTCCGCGCGCATCCTCTTCCGCTGGAGGATCCCTAAAGGATACCTTCTTCCCTCCTCCGCGCACTCGAGCCGCCTCCGCCGCTAAGACACGTGCACGTTCCTCTAAGTCCTCGGCGCGCCTGAGTGAGTCCTCTTCCTCGGTCGTCTCCTCGACCGTATATCCTTCGACGATCTCTACAATGTTCGCTCCTAGATGCGGCGGCCCATCCCGAATCTGCCCGTCGTTCCCTCCGACGTTCCCTTGCTGCTGCGGCTGCCCTCCATTCCCTCCGCCGCCCAAGTTAGCCATCCTCGCCTCGATAGCGTCGATCAGGAATCCGCCTCCATACCGCGACACAAAACCCCCATCAGGGAAGCGTATCTTCTGTTCGTCGTCGAGTCTGATCTTCCCCGCACGGAGGTATTCCCCGACTTTCCTACACTCGCGCAGGAAGTGTCCCACCTCGCCGCAGAAGTTGCATGTCCTGGTGCCGAACCCTCCGCCTCCGCTGTACCCTCCGCCTCCGCCGCCATACCCTCCGCGCCCAGGTCCTTGAGGCTGATATCCGAAGACCGGTCCTCCTCGACCCGTTCCTCCGCCGTACCCCCCGCTATTGTAGTTCGCGCTCGTGTAGGTTCCTCCGCCATAGTTCCCCGCGCCGTACCCTCCTCCGCTATAGTTTCCGGTAGCGTACCCTCCTCCGCGGCCTCCTCCGCTCCCATGCGTCTGCTGGAGTGCCCCTAGCGCCGCCACGAAGGCTCGGCTCAGGGCTTCCTCCGTCATCGGTTCCTGCTTAACGCCAGATGACCCCCCTCCTCCGCCGGCTCCCGCACCGGTACCCCCACCTTGGGTGTTGCCTCCGCCGCCGTAACTGACCGCGCTGAGACACTGCTGCGCTGCCCCATGCAGCTGCTCAAGGCTGTACCCCTTCGCGGGGTCGACCGTAGAGTTGACGATCTCGACCCTCCGACGGATCGCGTCCGCCGACTTCGCGTCGAATCCGGATAGATACTTCTGGTGCACCTGCGACTTCGACACCAGCCCTTCCGTCATTAGGTAGCGGGCCACTGGGAGGAACTTTCGATAGAACTCGGCCTCCCCACTACGCGTGTCCGTCCCAGCACTCAGCCCGGCCGCAGCGATCGCGTCTAGATCGGTTTCTAAGTACTTCGATGCTCCGTCCGACCCCGGATACAGTTTCACGATCCCCTCCTTATACTGTTCGAACGTCGGATTGTCGGGGACGGTTACGGTGCCCCACAGCTCATACTGATCGGGGTTCAGGTACCTCTGAGCATATCGGATTTTCTCCTCCTCGACGGTAATGTTCGCGAGCGCCAAGAGATCGGATACATCCTCGAAGTACCGCGCGAGCGACCTAGGCTGATCGTCGAACTTTGGAGCAGTGCGATCCCCGCGGACGGGCATACTGCGTGGCTGGATGGCGGCCATTTTGTTTTCTAGTTGTGCGGAAGGAGTCCGGAGGGAAGGAGAACGAGCTCGGGACTCGTCGGAGGGAGTAACAGATGAGACGGAGGAAATGGTCTCCGATATGTCGGAGGGAATGGCGAGAGACGGGATTAAAGGGACTACGAGCAGGGGTATGGTTTCGTCGACAGGCGACGACGGCAGTGATGCGTATATCGAGACGGGTGATTCTGGAAGTGGAACGTTGATAGGATATGGTGAGGGAGGAAGCGGAACTGAGGCCGGCACCGATACGGGGCTGCCCACTGACTTGGTCGAGGAGGAGGCGCGGACGGGGTAGAGTATGCTCGCCGCCGAGGTACGTTTGCTAATGGGATCGACTCGCTCGACGCTGAGCTTCGAGTTGGTGATGATGCAGGTGCGGAGGTGAGGGTGCTGTCAGCCGGATCGAGGAACGGGTTCTCTCCGTCACTGTCGTCAGCGCGCGGAAGGGGAATGCCGTCTAGCGCGGGTACCCTGAGCGATGGGTCGTACGGCGAGTCCGGAGAGTGATGTGCGATAGCGAGCTCCTCGAGTAGACTTCTCGTAGGGGTGTGAGGCTCTGACGATAAGGGACGGTAGCGAGAGTTTTCGCTCGGGACCGTGTGATAGGCAGGATGACGTGGCACCGGGGTTGGGTCAACAAGATTTTACCAACGAAATCCCCCTCGCGGTGGGCTCCAGTTGTGGTGATTGCGAGTCCCCGGTGCGTGGACGACGCGGAAGGGAATTCTTGGTATCGGTGAAAACGATGGGCGGGGGTCGTTGGTGCAAGTTGACGGTTCGCGGAGGAAGCGAGCGAGGTCCGTGGTACCTCGCGGAGGGAAAAGGGGAGATGGGGTGGTGCGCCGCACGCTTCGTCCGCGATGTCCTTTAGTGAAGACTGCCTTTCCTGAGCCTGGTATACTCGATAGCCTTCCCTCCGACGTTCCTAACCTGAGCTCTCCTGGATCCTGAGCCTGAGCCTAACTCCTGCGACCTTCCTTAGCCTGAACGCGAGCCTGAGACGGGACCTGAAGCCTGAGATTGCCCGGTGCAACCTAGATACTGAGTCCTGAGAGGTAGTGGTAGGTAACTAACTCCCCTCTCCTCCGCCCTACCCTCCTAGCCCCCCTCCGCTGCCTTTCCCACGTTCCTACCTCGCTGGCACCCGTTCCCCTCCGTTCCTACTCCTTCCGCCCCCGTGGATCTCCCTCCGCCGTCCCTGCCATCCTCTTCCGTTCACCGGTCCACCGTCGTTGGAGTCCTCGATGCCCGCCGACATCCCACCGAACCCCTCGACCATTGTCTACACCACCCGTTTCTACCGCCTCATCGACCTCATTCGTGACGAGCGTGTGGTAGAGCCCCGTCTGAACCCCGATAGCGACCTGGAGTGGCTCGCTTGGGCCCATGGCGCCCGATGGCTCATCGTACGTGCCTTCTCCCGCCTCGTCCTCCACGTCTCGCCAACCTTCCTCCGTTCCGCGCAGCGGATGCTCTTCGATTCTCGGTCTCGCGCGGTTGCCCACGGCGATGCGTCCCTTCCGCTCGTCCGCCGATACTCCGACGTGCAGGACCTGATCGAGTACCTCGACCAGGTGTTCCTGACTCTCCCGTCTCAGCACAGCTACGTCGGCGAACCCTATCCATTGATCGCCTGGGCTCCGAACCGTGTCACCGCTGAGCAGTCCGACGCCGAGCTCGGCCGCCCGCTCCTTCCGGTTCGATACTTGGAGCGTCCCATGCAGTTGTCTTCCTTCCGCGCCTCCTCCGACAGCCTCGATGGTCTACTCACCCGGTTCCAAGGCCTTCTTGACGAATGCCGCGCCGCTAACCGTGACGCCCGCTCCGAGGCCGTCCGCATCGCCCGGGGCCTGAGTTCGGTTGAGGTCAGCGTCCGCGACTTGCACGCTCGCTTGTCGGAAGGAGTGTACGTTCCGGACGGCTACTCCGGGATACCGCGTCGCCTGCGGTTCGCGCACCCTCGGGACGTCGAGGCGATGGAGGAGGGAGAGGTCGAGGATGAGGTGGCGGAGGAACCTGATGTCCATGTACAGTAGTTGTCTTCGTTCCGCGTATTTACTTGGTCGTCCTTCGCCGAGTCGTCCTTTCACTAATCGATGTCGCTTCGTTCCGCGTTGCCCGCCGCCTGAGAGAGTGTCGTTCCGAGCTCGTACCGTTGCTCCCATGTGGGCCTACCCCACAGCGCAGATAGCCTACCAGTTCTACTTGTACCCGCGAGCTAGACGCCTATTCTCTCATTCATCCCCAATTCTAACCCGTGTCTCGCCCACGTAGGAACATCGGGTGAGTATTTGTCCCATAGACCAGTTCATCAGCCCTGACGCATATGTCTAGCCCTCCGAGGGGTCGGTTCTCGCATATCGCGATGTTCCGCATTGGATCGCTCCTTTTCATACCAGCATACTTGTCTGTCATTCTGTACCGTGTGTTTGCAAGTTCAGACGACGATGGGAACCCGGTTCTCATGGCCGGTACGTATTACAAAGCTCATATTACGAAGTGGGGATCATGACTGATTTACTCGGATCCGCGTACTAATAGCTCTCGCAATAAGCACGTAAGTATCCGAAAGTGCATGGTTTCATTTAGGCGTGAGAGCTTACCTTGTTGCTCAATAGGGCCGTGCGCTTCTGTGGAGGCACGTTCGTGTACACCGCAGTATCCGTGCTACTGAACTACAGTACGTCCTCCCGCTCGCGGCAATGCCCGATGCTCACGTCTCCCCAGTGTCTCCGCTGCATGTCGTGGGCTTTGCAAGCGGCATCGCGCAAAGCACCGTCAGCCTCGCACGATTCATTGGCCCCATCCTGGGCGGCACAGTGCGTCGGACGCTCTAATGCTGTTTATTCGATTCGCTGATCGTCCGCTCTCATCGTAGCTCTGGTCCATGAGTGCGGAGAACGGACCCGCCGGGTACCCGGTCGGCTTCATTGCATGCTCGGGAGTGTGCGCACTCGCTGTGGCCCTTAGCTTCCTCATCAAGTGAGCGACTTGCTGCCTCACACTCTACCTCGAAGATGTTGCCATAACGTACATTATTGAGGGCGAGCTGCGCACCCACTGGCTGTGGAGCACGACCGAGGAGGGCGTGCGCGACCCATCAAGATGCTCAAGATCAAGCTCGCGGAAAGCTACGAGCAGCCCGCATCTGCCATCAACACGCTGCGTGGGCGCGCCAACTTCGAGCAGAGCCAGACCAGTGCACCGTGCCTGCGGGTGTGGCGCGGATCACCAGTGCGTGGTCGCAACGCGCATGATCTCTTGAGGAGTTGGCAGAGAACCCGGTTAGCGCTGAGCACGAGAACGGCTTCCGTGGCAGGAAGACTCCCATTCTCAAGTACGTTGCCTGCATGTTCGTCCGCCAGAGTGGTGAGGCGGCAGATATGGTGCCAGGACGATCTGCGCGCCGAGAGAGGTGGGCTGCCTTCAGTCCATCCGCCTGCAGCTGCTCGGCTACCACCTCGCCGCGAAGAGCAGCTCGCCGCGAAGAGCAGCTTCGATGTCGACTTCCCGCGGAACCTGGCGGGCCTTGGCATCGCTTTCGGACGCTAGTAGTGCAAGATGTTTGGCTACAAGTTACTGGGCAATAAATGGCGCCTCATCGGCTACGAATATGGCAGGGCATTGGCCCGCATATAGACCACATGTTTTCCTCGCAGTACTGCCGAAGCGAAGGGGATGCCCGAAACCCGAATTGCGTCGAGTACAAATCTTGCGGGCTGCGTCGCGTGCTCACCACCCACCTCTCGCAGCTCCCTCGTCGTAGCTCATGGTTCGCTCGCCGTCGGTCAAGCATGGCAAGCGCAAGGCCCGAGCCGTCTCACCAGATGAAGACAACACTGAAGACCTCGTCGAAGAGCTCATCGCGCGCGCGTCCAAGCCAGAGCACAAACGACTGAAGTCCTCGCTCAGTGCTGCGCGGCGCGAGACGAATGCTGGGCTCAAGTCAAAGCAGAAGGGGAAGGGGAAGGGTGTCGCCCACAAAGTGACGAAGGCCGCGGTCCAGGTATGATCGTCGTTCAAAAAGTCATGTTCAGTGTCGCTGACGAGATATGGCGGCATTCTCAATAGGCAGCAGGCCCCTCAGGCTCTGAGTCTCGCAAGGTATGGCCTTCGCCCTGATTCGTGTACCAACTACTAACCAGGATGCTCGCTGGTCAGACCTCATCGTCGTTGTTGAAACATGCACCCCTTGAGGTTGGTTGTATCTTATTGTTGCCGCATGGGTTGAAGGTGTGCTTTTCATGTGGTGCATGCCGTGGTTTTGTGCTGATTGTCGCCATTCTGCAGGACAATGGTGACATCCAAACGTCGTCGGCATACACAACGAGCCAACTGGAAATGTATAAGCGCTGTGGGCTCGCCGTCACGGAGACTCCAGGTGACGACAGGATCCTCATTTCACCTGACATCACTCGGGATGATATCAACGACCTCCTCAAGGCTTGCTTCCCATTATATTTTGACTGGCTCGCTGCTCAAGGGGTAGACATTGGATCATCCTACCATTGGAGGATTGTGGCGAGGGATAGGCGGCGCGTGATCATCCCTTACTTCAACGACAACCGTCCTATGGACTTCGTGGGGATCTGCAGAGCAGTCCATGGTAAGACCAGTCGCTGGCAAGACCGAACGTGGTGCTTCGGTGGGCAGTCCGACTTGTATTGTACACCTCTTACTAATGAGATCCTCAGTATCGTCCATATCTATCCCGAAATCAGTGTGGCAATCGTGGGGCACTACCCAAAGTGCGACGGATGTTCCTCAACGCAGGGACTGGACCGACACTCAGCTCGCGAACTACGTTCCCAGCTCGGACAGCAACTCAGACGAGCAGGTCGGTTCAAAGCCAGATGTTGGCTGTAAGTCCCCTTTCAGACTTTGTTGTTCGCAAGGGTCGTAACATATTACCTGCTCAGCTTCGTCAGATGCAGAGGCCGAATCGGGCGATGAAACTGATGTGTCGGAATGGGCAGCACCAGCTCATAAATCGAAGACAAGTCGTAAGCATTGTCATCCTACTCAGTCATGGGGTTGATTACGATGACGAGGGCTCTCTAGGGAAGCTCGGGAAAGTGGTCGCAACTCTTGGAAGTAGTCTCGCGAGCATCCAGCTCGGCACCCCAGAGCCTGAGCCTGGAACTGGTAATTCAGTTGCAGGTGCGACCACCCGATCTTGTTGCAGGCTCGCAACTAACACTCTCGTAGGTAGCTCGTCTAATGCAACTGGCTCAGCCAGCACGAGTGAGCTTGGCTCAGCAGCAAATCCGATCGTTTTCAGCTCCTCAGTGGAAGACCTTGGCGAAGTGTCCCTCGAAGCCAGCCCCGAACGACCTCCCTTCACTCAACCCTTCTCTTCGCAAGCAGGATCCTCAAGGGAAACCCGTGCATCTGCGTGGATCCCACCCCCTGTGATGATGTCGAGGGGTGAAGTTGCCGACGACCCGTGGGCTTACTAGGTCCTTGCTGAGTAGGTGGCAGATTGGTGCTAATTCTTGCTACCCTTCGTACTATCCCCTCATTTTTCTTCTGCGCCTGATAACTATACTACATACCCACACTGCTCCGATCTTCGTGCACGACACTGGCTCAGGCTACAACATCCTTTGCTTCTTGGATACGAGTGGCTATTGCACTTCCTGATCTTGCTAATTTTCGTGGTACCTGTGCTCGTTCTCTACCATTACAATATCCTGAAATAATAGCTCGATTTGCGAGCGCTGCAGTGGGTTTGGCGAGGCATCTGGGACTAAGGGCTTTCCCCTGCAGGTGCAGCGAGTTCGAACCTTAGTCTAGGGTTATACGTTCCCACGGCCAGTGCCAGCGAGCGCGACCTTCGCGAGGGCACTTTTTCATCAACCACCCAATTCCTGCTAGTACTGCACAAGTGCCCGGCGTTCTGGCGGTGAACCAAAGTGATGCATACCTTGGCTATGCCAGGTGACCGCATCCATGGGGATCCAAAGGGATCAAGGAAGCTTCAGTACCAATGTCGATCTCGCCTTCGCGCAGCAACGAAGCCCACTGACTACGAACAACCCGCGCTCGGTGGCCTCATCAGCACTGCCCGCGCGCGCGGCGCCGACGCGCAGCAAGACGAGCGCATCCGTGGCTGGTCTGGCGCCGCACTCGAGCGCGCGCGGGCGCGATGACAAGCGGGGATCAGTGCAACGGCTTTTCCTCCAGGGTCAACTCGGGCAAGACGCCGCCCCCGGCGCCCTCAGCGTTCGCCAAAAGGTGTGCCGCGGTGCATATTCTGGCCTTCGCCGCCGTCTGACAACGTTTTCCAGAGCGAGGGAGCTCGAGGCGAAACAGGGGATAGGTCCTAGATACAGGCCCCCGCGCTGCGCGCCTTGGCTTCTGGCGGCTCTCCTCCTAATAACGACCTATCTTCGTCTACGAACTCCCTACTAGTAGGCGACAACGGTGACTTGCCGCCGGCCAACTACCCCGCGGGCTTCCGAAGGGCGAAGGCGGGGACCTTGCCCTCCAACGTCCAGCTCGCGGCTCAGCGCTTCGCCGCGGCATCGAGCACGCTTCGCAGCTCGGCAGCAGCGGCTGCTGCCACTGTGTCGGCGGACTCGTTTCAGGAGCAGCTCCAGCGGCAGAGCTTCGCACCGCCCGCGTCGACGGCCCCCGTGCGACCTGGTTTACGTCACTCGGCCTCGGTCGCTTCTTCAGCTGCTTCCTCTGCATTGACTGAGCGGAACAGCCGCCTCCGCTCTGGCTCGCTCACCCTCCCCTCGGCGGTCTCTCCAACGCGTTCGGCTCGTCCCTCTTCTCGTCGACCTGAATGCCCAGCCGCAATGGTGGCATGCCCGTGCTGGACGATTTGCGCTCAGCAACGTCCATGGACTCCAGCGCAGACGATTTCGATGTCCACACACTGGACTATCTGGGTCTTGACGAGACCCTCCGCCACCCGCCCGCTGCTACCATCTCGGAGCTGCACAACCAGGCCCAAGCCGCGATCACAGGCAATCTCGCTGCGAACCCGGCGCCCGCCTAGGCTTCGCGCTACTACCGAGCCCAACCCGTACCGGCCTTCTGCAGGAGCTTCTCTGCTCGCCACTCTGTAACGGATATTCCCGTTACGGTATATCTAATCTCGTATGCTTGTTCTTGTTTGTTCGAGGGCTCGTATGGCGTGCCAGCGCACCTGCGAGACCTCAGTCCTTTACCATCCTCATCGCCCCATGTATGCTACGTGTAGACAGTCCCTCTGAATAGAGACTGGGTACAGCGCATACCGGGCCCGAGGATTAAGGGACGCCACACTTTTTTGCGCTCCAGAACAGCTTCTGTTCTGGGGACTATCTACTCTAGGCAACAACCTGGAAACTTCGAATTTCTATGCTTTACATCAAAATCTAGTCGACTTCGCAACCACTCAAGAAGATGGCTGGATCGACAACCCACTCTCCCAAGCACTCGCGTAGTACTCGGAAGGCCCACCGCGCGAAGGTCGATGCGAAGGTGGATGGAATTCTTGGCAGTTTTGCGAAGTTCTTGAAGAGTATCCCGGTCGAGACATGAGCCACCCCCGATAGGCGGTTCCGGACACTCGATGACTCGATGAAGCATCTAGAGGATGCTATTACATCGCTCAGACGCTCCGTGGAGCAGGACAACGAGTCCAGACGTCACCGTCGCACGACCTGCCAGACTGAGCTCTCCGACCCCGAGAACTCGTCCGGAGCACTCGCGGAGCAGGCACCGTCCGACCGCGAGGTCGAACGCACAGCACACGCAGAACTGTTCGAGCCCAAGGTCGAACCCATTCAGAGCTGCCAGGAGAACCCGACTCCGCCTGTTCCAATCGAGCCACAGGAGCTGGAAAGCTCTCCGACGAGTGGTGCGCGCAAAGAGATCGACAGCGCTGCCGCTGTTGAGCCCGCGTCTGAGCCCAAGGGGCCGCGTCCTGAGCAGATCGAGCCCGACATCGAGACTGCTCAGAGATGTCCGGAGACTCCGTCTCCGATTGCTCCCAGTGAGCTGACCAAACTCGGTACCACCATCAAGAGTGGTGCACGCACCCGGTTCGACGACGCCGCCGTCGCCGAGACCGAGCCCAAGCCCCAGTTGTCCGACAAGGCGACTCGGCCCTACGCCCGGGAAGGCATAGGGACGCGACCTTACGTCGCATCCTGGGATGTAGGCGAGCTTCTGCTCGTAGATCCACATGTCGCGTGCTCAGAAATGAGCCGCGACTCAAAATATATGATCGCGCCGGACGACGTGCCCGACGCGGCAAGCATCGAGCTCGACACTCAACGCGTCGAGCGTCACGCGCCCGCGCCGAGAGCGAGCACTCTCAGCGTTAGCGCTGGAAGTACTCCTCACCATGCTAACCGCCACTTCGACCTTCACTCTGGCCGCCACCGCCCGCGTGCAACCGCGTTCCAACCCGGTTCGCACTTCCCAACGGAAGTGCGAGCCGCGGACTGTCCTTGGACAGCTGAACCCTTCGCGGTTCAGCTGAAGGATCGACCGGTCAGTACCGACCGCCACCTCGCGGTCGGCAACCCCTCCGACGACCTGGCACCTCGCGGTACAAGACCGCCAGGGCCTTCCTCTCCGATCCTTTCCCTCCGCCCTCGCGTCTCGCATCTCGACTCGGGAGACTCTCCTCTCGAGTCTCATGAGTATGGCGACACCCATCGCGGCTCTGGCGACACACAACCCAGTCGCACGATCCAGGATTCGCACGACCTGCGTGCAAGCCCAGCACCAGGCAACCAGGCTGCGCGAAACACGGGAGACACGGAGCGAGGAGAATGCGAGGAAATCAGGAAAAGGAAGGAGGGGGAAGGGTGCGGGGCGAGCATGAAAGACGAGCAGAGAGGCTCAATAAACGCAGGTACGCCCTTGGTGAACGTATCCCACTCGCCACCGCCTCCTTCTCCAATGCCCACACCGGCACACGTATCGACGACTACAGAGGTCGTCGTGCGTGTCGCAGGCCATGAAGACGGCACGTACGCGTTGCGGGACGACCCAGGGGTCATACCCTCCGCTCGAGCCGGTACGCCGGTGATACGGGACGACCTCGCGGTCGTACCGTCCATGCTACCATGCGACATGACGGACGCGCAGCGGTGCACGTCCGACGTGTTCCGTCCATCCTGCACCAACCGTCGTGTAGTGGGTAGGCCGAGCCATTCACTCGACGTGCACGCTACCGACCAGCCGGGAGGCTTGAGCATTGAAGGCGTAGCGATGAACAATGAACTCGTCGCGCGTACTATTGGACACGCGGGCGGCACGCTTGAGATGCGAGACGACCTTGCGGCCGTACCGTCAACATTGCAAGACGACACTGCGGACGCACTGCACTGTACGTCCGAGGTGTTCTATCCAGTCTTCACCAGCCGTCGCGTAGTGGGTACGTCGAGCCGTCCGCTCGACGTGCAAACTACCGGCAAGCCACAATGCTCGAAACTCGAAGGTACGTCCATACTGGACGTACCCAACGCCCGGCTGGCTATATTGCCATTGCCCGAGCCAGCGCGCGCATCAACGAACAGGAAGATCGTTGTGCGTGCTGGTCACGAAGACAGTACATTCATGCTCCGGAACGACCTCCAGGTCGTACCCGAGCATTCGAGTTCCTCATTGCCGATTGTACTCCCAGTGCTCTCGCCAATAGGTGCATCGATGAACGGGCTCATCGTATGCACTGTTAACCACACAGATGACATGCGCCTGTTACGATACGACCTCGCGGTCGTAATCTCCAGATGGCAAGGCGGCATAACGAACGTACAGCACCTCACGCCCGACGTGCTTCATTCCATTGACCACGAAATTCGCACGCACAAGCCCTGGTACAACCTACGGGTGGTACCTGGCGATGGTGCTACGCTGGACGCGCAGAACTGCCCGTCCAGGGTACCCTGTGCTGCCATGAACGCACCCAGAGCCGCAGCGACTGACGGAAGGTCTGTCGTGCGCAGTGGGGGCCACGACGATCGCGCGAAGGCGCTCGGAGACGAACTAATGGTCGTTCTTTCCGACCGTCAAGGCGATACGCCTGTGATACGGGACGACCTCGCGGTCGTACTGTTTGTTCCGCAAGGCGACATGACGGACGAGCAGCATTGCTTATCCGACGTGTCCCAGTCACCTGTACACACTACCGGTGAGTATAGAGTGTCGAGAAGAAAAAGTACGCCCTCGGCGGACGTACTTACCTCGACATCTGCCATGCCCACATTAGTGTGCGTAACGGCGAATGTAGAGCCGGTCGTGCGCAATGCCCGCGGCTCGTCGGGCCACCGTCTCTTCATCTCCGCCTTCATGATCAATTGTGATCATGGAGATGACATCACGCTCAAATTTCGGGACGACCTTCAGGTCGTACCGGGACCCGTCATTCGCCAAGACGAAGCCGGGTACGCACAGCGCTCTGAGCAGCCCGAGACCGCCGTCGGGTCTGCTCAATGCCACCTGGAGGCACTGCCATCCCGAGGTGCCCCGGCCCAAGCGACGAAGCTAGGCATCACCCGAAGGATGATGCACGCGCCGAGCTCGAAGACACGTCCGTCATCGAGCTCGCATCCGAGCCGAACGAGTGGTGCGTCGAGTCGACGCATCTCCGCGCTCGGGAGGGTATAGGCACACAGTACTACAACAGTACTGTGTACAGCGGGAACGAGCCCGCGTGCGTAGATACACTCGTCGCGAGCTCAGAAATGAGCCGCGACACAAGAAATATATTATTTGTGTCGATCGACGTGCGCGCCACGACGAGCAGCCTGCTCGACGCGACGCGCGACGTGCTCAACGCTACAGGCGTTGGGTGTCACGAGCCTGTGGAGAGCGACCCGAGCGCTAGCGCCTACCGCACTACGCTCGACCGCCACCACCGAACCCTCGTTCTCGACCCCTTCCACTCTCTGGGCAGCCACATCGAGCGCCCGTCTGGCGAACCAGACGCGCGTGGCGTCCCAACGCGAGTGCGAACTCGCGTTCGCGACTGCCTGGCTGAACTGCCGCCAGTTCAGTCAGAGGCGACCAACGAACTGGTACCTCGCGGTACAAGTTCGCCACCTTATTCTTCCCCGGCTCCTCGTCTCTTTCCCCTCGTCTCGCGCCTTGACTCTGGCGACCACTACTGCGACTCTGGCGACACGCAACCCAGCCGCGCGACTCCGGACTTGAACACCGCGCGTTCAAGCCCAGCGCCGAGCCGTAAGACCGAGAGGACCACGAGGAACGCGGATCGTGGAGGCTGCGAGGAGATCCCGAAGGAACGAGAAGGGTGCGAGGAAGGCACGAAGGGAGAGAGGGAGGAAGGGTGCGGGGCGAGTAGAGAAAGCGAGCAAGAGGGCTCACAAATCGCAGGTACGCCCTCACTGGACGTACCCGACTCGCCTCCGCCTGTGCCAGTACCCCCGCCAGCGACAGCAGCCCTAGGGAACGACCCGCGGGTCGTACCCTTGTCAGTGCACAACAGCACGACGGATGCGCAGCACAGCACGTCCGACGTGCCACACTCGCCGCCACCTATGACCGCGCCAACAGGCGTATCGACGAACGTGAAGGTCGTCGTACGCTCTGTTGGCCACGCACATCGCACGCACAGGCCCTGGTACAACCTACAGGCTGTACCGGGCAGTACGCACGGCGACACGGTGGACACGCAGAACTGCACGTCCGACGTGCCCTGCGTAACAACGGACGTGCCCAGAGCTGCAGCGACAAACGGAACGTTTGTCGTGCGCACTGGAGGCCACGAAGATGGCGTTGCTGTCCCCAGGTACGACTGCGAAGTCGTACCGTCCGCTCCGCAAAAAGGTACGACTGTGCTAGGGGACGACCTCCAGGTCGTCCACGGGCTCCCCATCTGGCAAGACGACACGGTGGACATGCAGTCTCGCACGTCCGACGTGCCCCACCCATATATCACCGACCATCGGATAGCGAGTATGCCGAGCTCAAGGCTTGACGTACACGCTACCGACCAGCACGAAGGATCGAGAGCTGAAGGTACGCCCCTGATGGACGTACCCATCTCGACATCCTCCTTGCCCGGGATCAGGCCCGCTCTGCAAGAGAGCACACCTACGCTAGGGGACGACCTCGCGGTCATAACCTCCAATTCGCAAGGCGGCACGATGGACATGCAGCGATGCATGCCCAACGTGCCCAATTCAACCTTGACTGCACGCGATGTGGTGTGTACGTCTAGCCCGCCGCTCGACGTACACGGCGTCAGTGATCACCATCCCCCGATCATTACTGACCTCCCGTTGGCTAGTCGCACCGCGCAGGACAGCCTGTACGTCCCCGCGGAAGTACGGGTCCCTGGCTGCTTCAGCGCAGTTGAACCACCAGTGGTCCAACTGGCCGAGCTGCGGGACGACCCCGACGACCTCTTCCGTGAATTCCTCGACCTTCCGTCCGGCAGCGACAGGTTACGCCCGGCCCCGCATCAAGACGGTCCGCACTTCATCACGGAAGTGCGAACATCCGGTGCAGTTGAACCCGCAGTAGTTCAACTGACAGGGTCGTGGAACGGCATCGATTCCGTCCCTGATGGTACCCACTCACGCGCTGCCGTCTGTCCAGAAGACTTGCACTCCCAACAGGAAGTGCAAGCCCCCGGTCCCGTCAAGACAACTGAACCATTCACGGTTCAGCTGGGAAGCCTGCGATACAACCTCGACCTCGACTGGTTGAGCGACCGCCACTCTCGTTGTGAACCAAGCGCCCCGTCGACGGTGCAGCTCGACGATTGCGTAGCCCTAATGGACGCGCGAGCTCAAGACCGTGACCGAGTTGCTGCACTAAGTGTAGTGCAGCAGCCGGCGCCTACGGACCCCGACCGACCAGAACGGTTTTCTGACCCTCAACTCGGCGAGAAATTTACAGTTCTCGCCGAGGATTCGCTCCCAAGGACCCACACTTTAACCCCTATCGACCTCCCCGCGGCCCTCGACACCCATGGCGACTACGACAGGCGCCACGAGTCGGCGACCTCGCATGCACCCCGGAGATCGCGCGAGGAATGGAAGGATGGAGGAAACGTGGACGAGGATGCAGAACCAGGAGAATCAGATGAGGAAGGTCAGGCAGAAGGAGGAGAGGAGGAAGGGTGCGGTGTAGGCGAAGAAGACGAGCCTGCGAGCTCGAAAAGCAAAGGTACGTCCTTATTGGACGTACCCTCTTTATTCGCGCCACCATTCCCTACCCCGCAATCACCACCCGTGATGACCACGACAACCGCATTGGTTGTCGTGGCAGTCACTGTATACAACAGTGGTACAGTCGGCCCGGGGGATGACCTGCGAGTCGCACCCGGCACGACGATACATCGCGGTACAATCGGCGAGTTTACTTGCTTGACCGATGTATCCGGTCGGTCTGTAGCCCACGCACAGACGTTGGACCTCTCCGTCGACGTCCACGATGAGGAGGTCGACGGTGATTTGAGAATCACGTCGGTCGTGTCCAGCACGGTTGCGCATCGGGCTCATGGGTTAGAGATCGAGCTTCATGCTCGAGGTACATCCCTATCACCATCGTCCGCGATGTGTCTGGAGAACTTCACAGTTCTTCGACACAGTGACAGGTCACCATTTTCTTGTTGCCGATAACTGTCGCCATCACTATTGCAGGCTGCATAACTCCATCGAGTTATGTATGACGAGAGTGGATGGCCATGCTGCTCACTGACACGAAGTAGTTTGTCGTTGTCTACAGTATGGCACCACCCTTGTATTGCCAATCACTACCACCGTTGTGTTGTCGCGTGTACAATCCCTTCTTTCTTTTCATTTCTCTGGTTATCTCTGGGACCCGTGGTCGTGTCCAGTGGGGGAGGGTGTAACGGATATTCCCGTTACGGTATATCTAATCTCGTATGCTTGTTCTTGTTTGTTCGAGGGCTCGTATGGCGTGCCAGCGCACCTGCGAGACCTCAGTCCTTTACCATCCTCATCGCCCCATGTATGCTACGTGTAGACAGTCCCTCTGAATAGAGACTGGGTACAGCGCATACCGGGCCCGAGGATTAAGGGACGCCACACACTCCCAGTGCAGAGGAAGAAGAGGAGCTCTACGATGAGCGTATGTATGGCAGGCAGAGTCTCAACGCCTACCAGGACACGGAGAGCGACTATCTCTCGGCTGCGTACATGGCGAAGGGCTTCAAGCAGAGCGACCACCTCTCCGCCGGTCTTGGCTCACGTCCCCGCGCTATCTCGGTTGGAAACCTCGACGACACGACGCGAGCACTGCAGGCCCGCCGCCAGGCTGCGGCTGAAGCTCAGGCGTACAACGATACGCCCATCCAGACGAGCGTGGGCGGTATCCCTCGTGCTGGCAAGGCTAATGCCCGAGGTGGTGGTTCCCCTTCAGTCCATTTCTTCAATGGCGAACTCTCCAGAAGCAACTCGTACCTCGCCGCTCCGCTGACGAACCAGAAACGCGCTACGTCACCGAAGTCGGAGGGGTCTTCCCAGATGCAAACGCCGACCCGCTCCCTCTGGATCGGGAACCTCGATAGCTCCGCCACCAGCGAACAGCTCATCAACGTGTTCGCCCCGTACGGTGCCATCGAGTCGCTCAGGTTGCTGCCTGAGAAGGTCCGTGTCCTGTACATTGATTTCCCATTCCCACCGCGCTAACATTAACACAATAGGAATGCGGCTTCGTGAACTTTGTCGACCAGGCGGACACGATCCGCGCTAAGGAGGACATCTTGAACCGCCTGGGCGGAGACATTGGCATGCCGAACGGGCAGACCGTCCGCATTGGCTTCGGAAAGGCTGATAGCGCGCCGGTCGCTCCCACGAAGGGCACGAACATGAACAGCCCGTCGGCGACCTCGCCTGGTAGCAGGCTCGGTAAGGCGACGGGTAACAACGTCGGACTGGCGGGCATGGATGCGCAGCTGCAGTCTACCCCAACGAGAGCGCTCTGGATTGGGTCGATTCCATCGACGACTACGCCTGCGACCATTCTTAGCGTATTCAGCCCGCACGGCCCCATCGAGTCTGCGAGGGTTCTCACGCACAAGAACTGTGGCTCTAGTAAGTTTTTGTCTGTGTACATGAGGATGTTCGGGAGGCTGATGTTGGTGCCCCAGCCAACTTCGAGTGCCTTGACGATGCAGTTCGCGCTCGCAAGGCTCTCAGCGGCCGCGACGTCCTGGGCAGCGACGTCGGCGCCATCCGCATCGGCTTCGCCAAGGTGCCCGTCAAGAACGGTTCAGAGGGCACCGGCGGACAAGACGAGGGTAACGGCCTCAACGTCCAGGGTGTTGGCGACCTGAGCGTCGGCGCGACCATCGACGCGCTGCGCAACATCAAGGGCGCGACCACTATCCCCGTCGACCAGCAGGTCCTCAGCGGCGCGGTGGACAACTACCGGTCCAACCTGTTGTTGAGCATGATTGCCTCTGGGGCGCATGCGGGCATGCTCGACTCGGCTGGCAAGCCTGCGGGCTGGACAACGGCGGTTACGGAGCAGCAGCTGGTCATGAAGGAGCTCAGTGGTGGAAGTCCCGACGCTGAGGCTGACATTCAGGCCCTTGCAGGTGAGTTAACTGGGATTGGCTTAGTGATCCAGCACTGACGTACTAGCAGAGTTCCGCCCTCCGATGATGTACTACACGACGATCCCGCTGGTGTCTGAGAGGCCTCACAACAGACGGTGCGATGCGTTGAAGCTGCGTGAGCTCCGCAAGAGGCTCGGCACGAGCACTATCTCTACCGAAGAAATCAACAATACCGCGGCCGACTTCCTCGACGGGGAGATCGTTGACCTCGCGTCCGGCTGGCTTGGTAACACGGTATGTCTCCCGCTTCGGACGTCCGTAATCGGTTCTGACAGGTGTCTCTAGGTCGTGCAAAAGCTTTTCGAGAAGTGCTCTCCAACGCCTCGCCTTGCCATGCTCGAGCGCCTCAGCCCGCACCTCGCCATGATCGGAATCCACAAGAGCGGCACCTGGGCCGCGCAGAAGATCATCGAGTGCGTGCAGACTCCAGACGAAGTGGCTCGTCACGCAGAACTTGAGGCCCTACGTCCCGCCGCTCTTGTTGGACCAGTTCGGTAACTACGTCGTGCAGTAAGTGTGAGAGTACGCGTGTATGGGGATGCATACTGATAGCCGGGTAGATGCTGCCTGCGCTTCGGCGCACCCGCCACCGATTTCTTGTTCGACGCGATGGCCGACCGTCTCTGGGAGATCGCTCAAGGCCGCTTCGGAGCTCGTAGTATGCGTGCCTGCCTCGAGAGCAGCAACATTACGGTTAGCCAGCAGCGCCGCATCGCTACTGCGATCATCCTTAACTCGATCCCGTTGGCGACGAACCCGATCGGCGCGCTGCTTCTGGCGTGGCTGCTGGACACGTCGAACTTCCCGTCTAGGTACAACTTGCTTGCGCCTCGATTCACGCCGCACCTCTCGCACCTGCGTACCCACAAGCTCGCATCGCTCACAGTGCTCAGGATCGTCAACCAGAAGGTCGAGCCCGAGGCGTCTACGCAGATCGTCGAGGCCCTCTTCTCGTCGCCGGGCGATCACGTCCTTACCGACGTGCTGGGCGATCAGGCTAATGGTGCCGCCGTTGTCCACAAGATCTTGACGAGCCCCTTCGTCGACCCCACCCAGCGCCCGAGCTACGTAGAGGCCTCCAAGAGGGTACTGATTGAGTTGAAGGTTATCGCCACCCAGGCTTACCATTGTCTCATAGAGGGAGTTGGGATCCTCCTGCGCCTTGCCAACCACCCTGCCATTGCGTACGTCTCGCATCGCTTGTTCCACCGTTCTTTCTGACCAGCCCCTCAGCGAGCAGCTGCATCAGGAACAGGTCGAGCACCTCGGGCTCCCAGGAGGCAGCTTCCGCGAGATGGCATACGAGGACATGAGGTCGCTGCCTATTCTCAATGCCACCCTCCAGGAACCGCTCCGCATGCACTCGCCCATCCGCAGCATCAGGCGTTACGCGCGGAGCGGCCTGCCCGCGCCTCCTTCGCTCGCCGCACTGCTGGAGGACAACGTGTACGTTGTTCCCAAGAGCCACACCGCCCTCGCGTCACCTGCACTCAGCCAGCTCGACGCGCTCATCTGGAAGGACGCGAACGTGCGGGATCCCAGCCGGTGGTTCAGCGCGGCTGGCTTTGCGGTGCAGGAGTACGATGAGAGCTCGAGGGTCGATTTTGGCTTCGGGCTGGTCAGCAAGGGCACGGACAGCCCATGCCTTCCCTTCGAGTGGGAGGGGGTGCAGGCAAGGAGGTGAGAGAATGCGAGTAAGGGGGAGTACGAGTGGCGGGGACGAGTGGGGGAGTACGAGTGGCGGGAGTACGAGTTTGAAGAGGGTGCGCAAGTGGTGCGCGGGTAGGCAGGGAGTGCGAAGCCGATAGATGTAGTGAGCTTAGGTAGGTATACTATGTATGTAGGTTATGTCGTTTACTGCAGTATCAGCCCTGCTGCAGTAGCCAGAGTCAATGGCTGGGTGTGGCTCGTGCGGTGTGGCAGGAATCTCGGCTGCTGCCTTCGCTCCGCGCAGCGAGGCTCGCTTACTTGCTCTCACTTCTTTGCCCTCACCGCTGCTCTCGTCTGCTGTCCTCACTGCTGCTGCACTCTGCATGACTTCGCAGACACCATTTGAGCATGCCCAATGGGGTTCTGGAGTGCTGATCCCCTATGGTGGGCGTCAGGCTGGAGCGACTCAGCAGGTCGGCGAGGGGTTGGGAGGATCGTCGCTAGCAGGTCATGGCACAGGGTCTAATGCTATGATACCTGCCAATCCCGATGTGAGTGCTGCTGTTGCTGACTGGGTTGAGTTGATGGTTACGATTGAGCGACTTAGGGAGCCAGGCTCATCAGTGGTGCAGTTCGGGCGATGACACGATCGTCGCGATACTGGTTACAAGATGGAAACACAGTGATTGGTGTGAGCATACTTACATATACTGTCCTGCATTCATTGATAACCCATTGTAGGTTGGTACGACCCTGTACCGGCTTTATCGCGGCCTGTTCGCCAATCTTTCGTCTGTCTTCAACGACATGTATCACATACCTCCTGGTGATAACTGGTCCGAAGGGACCTCGGAGACGAGCCCGCTGTATCTCTCGCATGTCGACACGTTTGCATTTGAAGCCCTTCTTGAGTGGATGATCGGTCCAGTACTGTGAGTCGTGCAGTGCGATCTTCTCATTATGCTGCTGAACTTTGGGCGACTCAGTCAGTTGGGAGAGCGGGCAACCCTGTTCACCCCCTCTGTGCCAGAGCTCGTCGGGATCCTTAAATTGGCAACAATGTGGGACATCACGAGAGCACGGAGCTATGCGGTGGAGAAGCTTGATGCCCTCCCTCTCACTGGCAACCACGATTGGAGTGCGATCGCGAAGGTTGCATGTTGCCTCTCGTACGGGGTTGACGAGTGGCTTGTTCCTGGCCTGCGTGCTGTCCTACTGCTTGGGCCAGTCGAGTGGGACACACCTCATTTCCACTTATTCAAGGATGCCAACATCTCAAATCAGGTGAACATGCTCTGGCGCCGCATTGATCGCCACCGCAAGCACCTCGCCTGGGACCCTCCGACCTATGTTCAAGGTATAGTTTGTGAGGCCAGTGCGGCTCGATGCAGTGCCAGATGGGTGGCGACATGGCATCAGGCACTTGGCCCCAAGCTCGTGCATCCCGACAACCCGATTTCAGACCAGGTCCTTCTCGAGTCAATCACTGACTGGTCGCAAGAGATGGGATTGTGCTTTTCGTGCCATCGTCAGGTTGTGCAGGCGATGAAGTATAACCCAAAGTGGAACAAGGAGGAGCAGATCATCCAGTCTGTCGCAGAGCGCATTAGGCACGACTATCGGGACATCTTCTATCACTAGTCCTCTCCCTGATTTCCAAATCTTGTTGAGTGTTTCGCTTTCCTGCTGAATTACCAGACACTGAACCATACTTCAGCTCCAATTTTACTTGTACTTCTTCCATTTTAATGCTCCCTCATTTGTGATTGCCAACGATGGTACAAGCAGCCTTAGGGGCTTGTCACTATCCCTACGATAAATCAATATCCCTTTTCATGCGAGAGTCGAGTGAAGTGCTCCCGGGTGGAGCTTGTCGACCAGGCGGGGAAGGAGGAGGAGGTCTTGTCTGCTCGCAGGGTCGCCGCATGCCCTAGTGCAGTCGGGCGGTCGGTGTGGCTGCCCGAATCGCGGTCACAGACGAGGTCAGGACGAGGTGGTGGCGGTCGAGAGCAGCGCTCGGAGCGCACACCGCCGACGCGGGCTCGTGACGCACAACGCTCATCACGCGTCGTCGGTCGCGTTGAGCGTGTCGCGCGAGAACAATATATTGTTGTGAGCGAGTATCATAAGTACGATGGTGGGCGCCAAAGACTTGTTAGATATGTTGGCAATGCGAAAGTTTTAGATATACGAGCCACGAAAGTTTTAGATATACGAGTGTCGACAGTTTTAGATATACGAGTGTCGATAGTTTTATATATACGATGCACGAAAGTTTTAGATATAGAGTGTTACAAAGATTAGATCTAGAGTGTTACAAAGATTAGATCTGGGATAATAAAGCGTCAAACGGTACGCCATACGTGACTGACAGTACGTGTCATATACACCAGCTCAAGCAGGGGGCTTATAGCTAGTTCGCTACCAGCCGCCATATACTTTGGGTACGATCACTCCGCCGCATCCAACCTCATCGGTTCCATCGTGTAATCATTGATTTCCAGCTTTCTCTTTCTCCTAAATATCGTCGGAATATGCATTGCCATAGCTCAGCTTGAAGTGAGTGGACCACCAAACAAAGTCCCGCGGTCCTATCTTACGACAGTTTTCTATCCCTTCCCAGTTCATCGACGCCATCTCAACTCTGACAGTTATGTGAGTCTTCCACGCCGCGTGCATAGCAAGGTACAGCCAACACTCACCCTTACACTCCCAGACTGACTTCCATATTCCTGTCCCGACTGATGCTTGACCTACATTCGGCGATCCATATCCACAGTCAACCAAGTACAGCAGTACTCAGCACGGTTGAGTCGCTCGTTTTCACAGAAGAATCTGGGTGGGTAGGCGCTATGGAGCTCTCTCAGAACAATGACGGCAGGGCCCTCGAAGTGTGTAGCACAAGTGAGTATATCTGTTGAACACGTTTCAACCACCCGGTTGACTCTGTCGGTTTGTGAAGCGGATATCGCCCAAGTGGTCGGCGTATAAATCTACCCTCTGAATGCAACCATCACCACGACGACATCGTGTCGCGCTCTGCACCTTGAAGGACAAAGAACAATCGAGCATGTTCAACAAACCTACCTCAAAACAGGAAGCCGATCAGGGGCGCGACCTCATTATAGGCTCGCACGAGACAAGGGAACGAGTCAAACCATGGCATTAGGTGACAGTATGCGGAAAACATGACAAATCCGATGGCTACCAAAACGAGACAGTAGGGTGACAGTGCAACAACGGTGTATACTATTCTGATGGCTATGGTAACAACTGCAAAGTAGCGAAGTTGGCCAGAGGGGATAGTCCTGACTCGAGACCACTACCCTTGTGCTCCCGATATGTTTCTTCACGGTCGTGGTCATCGTTGGTCCCTATATTTCTTCCGAGCTGCGACCCAAGGCCTACAGGGCTGTCGCGCTGTGCACCAAGATGTACACTAAGCTTCCCGTGTTCCATGAAGTGTAGTCGAGCGTACCTGCATTTCTTCCTCATCCGGCCCGAACAAGTCATCGCTCCAGGACGACTCCCGGTTGCGATTGCACTCCATGCTATCTCCATCGCTGGACCTCGACGGGCCCGGACTTAGTTCTGGCGTGGACAATGGGTCGGATGTTCCGCGCGAACTCCCAACCCCGATATCGAAGGCACCAGCGCGGACGGGAGGGAGCAGCGTGGGTGAAGGTCGTGGCGCATCGTTCCGACTCTCGATAGACGGGCGCGATGGAAAGAAGTTGAAGGGGTCTTCGGAGGTCGCCGTTGGCATGAAGGGCATACAGAAACCACCTGGACCTGCAGGGGCCGTTATTGGACGAGGCACAGGTCCTGTTGCTGAAGAGATGAACATGTCATCTGAGTCTTGCCTAGCCGTGCCTTCAGAGGCTGGCTTCAGGGTTGGTGATGAACTGGCGGCTTGAGCCTCTGTGATCTCCTTGGCACGAGCTTCAGCAGCTTCCTTTGCCTCATTTGCTCGTTCTATAATCCGCCCGTGCTTGCCGATCCCTGCAACGAATTATGAGTAAAGACATTGACGTCGTCGAAATCGCACACGCACCTCGTTTCCAATCCAATGAAGTCTGACCCCAATGCCACTTCAGGTGAAGCGCGAGGCCGTTTGGGAGTTTGAAGGTGCGCGGACACAGCGGACACTTATGAAGTGGTCCTGAATAGGCTGTGTGTCTGTCAGCATACGACTGATTCAACTCTGCGTTCGTGAATCAGACTCACTTGAATGCGTTTCTTCTTCGTCGTCGTCGTCGATCACAATGATTTCAGGTTGCATAGACCGCTCCCCGCCTGTATGCTCCTCTCTGTCGGAACAGTCCGGCCTCCCGCTGATGCCTTGCGTTTCCCCCTCGCCATAAGCCTCTTGCTGGATCTCTTCCCATTCCCCCATCATATCTTCTATACCTGCTTCACCCGTTCCCTTCACAACACTCCCGTCATCCCATATCCACTCACGTCCCTCCTCGTACCTCCGCAACACTCCAATTCGCCTTCGAATAGGCACCGTCTGCTTCGTCTGCTTTAAGTGATGGAACATAGCCGACCACGCTGCCCCGCCGAAAGAGGGACCTTCTGTCGACGGGTCGGTCGAGATTGCACCTGAAGCCGTGGCAGACTCTGCTTGCTGAGTAGTATCCGAACCAATTGATGAACGTACAGTAGGCGAGGTAACGGCCTCCGGGGATGGCAGTGGGATCGGCTGCAGGCGCGGTCCAAGCGCTTGCGGGGGAGGTGGGCACGACGCAGAGACATCGCTCTCAGTAGCCTGAGGTACGAGAAAATCCGTAGACGTATTCGAGGCAAACAGAGTACCAAATAGTCGTTGACGAGGATTTTCGGCAGTGGCCATCGTCGCAGATCCGCTCGACAGCGAGTTTGCCGGCAGAGCGTCCGAATGATGATGTCCTTGTGGCGCAGGCAAGGGCTGAACACCGAGCGTAGGCGACGGGCCATTTGACATATGCGCGGGACTACCTGGCGATACGAACGAAGAAGGCCCCAGATTGTCGACAGGGAGCTGATCCTCCACGCACACATCCCGTTGCAGTGACAAGTCGTGTGCTCGCGTGCCCGACCCTTGCACACGCTGAATAGGCGTGATCGCGCGACCAGGAACAGAACTGTCAAAACCAGGCATTACAGGATCCCGACGAAGTACATCCTGGTACGAGGTCCCAGAAGTAAGAACCCACTGAGGTAACACCCCAGTCCTCTGTGCATGGAATGCAGCAGGATCAACGGGAACGAGGCGTAGCTGCGGCCTTCCGCCTCCACCACCCTCATCCACACGTACGCCCACGTTGCTGTCGGTACCAGTAGAAAGATCGACCCCAGTAACGTCAGAGTGCGTCGCGAGAGCCGCCAAGTCCAGATCGAGTCCCAGTGTACCGTCGTCTAAGCCCGGTACGAGCGCCTCGAGTTCAGCGAGAGGCAGTAGGTGCGCATCCAGACCTAGCACGTCCAGTCCCATAGCAGGCATCAACTCAGACGGGTCCGCGGGGGTTGATGTATGCGCCTGCGAAGTCGACAAGTAGTCTTCCAAACCGAGCATATACGCCTTCGAGTCAGGCATGAGGCCATCCATGATCCAGTCCGGTAGTGCCAAGCCAGGTATATGCGCATCCGTGTCGAGAGGAAACATTTCGTCGACGACAGAGGTTCCCCAAGTGGTCCCAGCGTCGAGCATGTGTGCGTCCAAAGCAGCCAGCTGTTCTTCGGTGAGCGACCCGCCGGCGAGCATTGCTTCGACGGCTGCGTCCATTTCGAGCTCGATCACGTCTCTGACAGATTCGATGTACGGCTGCGGTTGTTCCGCCGAGACCGGCACTGTAAGTGGTGCTTCTGCGATGTCGACGCCGCCATTACCCATACTTGGAGACGAAGAGATCGTCGCAAGCGCGTCGGTAGCATCAAGTAGGGTGTTGATATCGAGGTCTTCATTTTGAATAGGTCCAGAAGATACCTCAACGCCGCCCGTACCCTCAGTGGTTCCAAAGTTGGGCTCCTCGCTGTCGCCTTCCGAAAGACGGAACTTGCGCCCCCCGTCGCCAGCGTCATCGACTCCAACCGGCGTATCATCCCGCTCGACATGCATTCGATCTTTCGTCGACCGTTCCTGGAGACTCCGAGGCTCCCTGAGATCTTCGCCGGCGCACTCTTGCCGGGGACGCTGACACCATTCCTCGTCGTCTCTCGGCCAAGGGCGTTCGCTCGTGGGGTCTACATCTGGACACCCGGGCTTTTCCTGAGGGTCGCCTCGTGCTGGCTGCTCCATTTCTACATCCACCTCAGGATCCGCGCGATCTTCTTGAGCGTCCTCCGGTCGAGGGCACCCGCTCGCTTCATCAACATCAGCAGTTTCTTCATTGCCCTCCACGCCACCGCGAGCCGGCTCCTCCACCATCTTCACGTCCACTTCCTCCCGCGCTGACTCAACGACCGAGGCCGGACCTGCCGTTTCCTCCGTCTCGCTAGCGTCCTCCAACCGTGGACGCTTACGACCTTCATCGTCACCGTTGAAGTCACCCGGCGTCGCGCCTACAGGTAAGTCTGGCTCATCTTCCGACTCCGGCGTCGGCGGTCTCTGCACTTCGCGTTTCTTAGCAGCTTTGGACTTCGTCCGCTTGCGCACCGAGCGCGTCCGCTTCGCCTGTGTCTGCGTAGTGGGCGAGGTCTGCGGACTCGCGGTCGCGTCACCACTGGATGTATGCGCGACTCCGGGGACAGGGGAACGCTCGGCAGCGCACACCTCGACGGCTTCGCCGGGTTCCGTGGCCTCCTCGCTCACGCGCGACTCCGCACGTCCGAGCCTGCGTGACCCGCGCTTGCGCTTCAGAGGTTTACCGGTCGCCGAGGGAGGCTTGACCAGATTGTCGTCCACGAGCATGTCGTCCCCCTCCGCTCTAACATTGGGCGACGGAGGTATGCGAGTGCCTGACTTGTTGGCGGCCGGCGCGTTTTCGTCTGCTGGAGGCTCGGTCTTGCGCGTGCGACGAGTGCGTGGTGCGGGCTGCGCGTCGGTGATGCTACGCAGAGCGTTGACTGCAGCTTGCCTCATTGGGCGTCCGCGAAGGGAGTAGACATCCTTGACGGGTTCCAGAATGCGGCTTGTTGTCCTCCCAGCGGTCGTCGCGGTGGCAGGGACGTCACGAGTTTCGTGGGATTGGGCAGTATCGGCAGTAGGTGGCGGCCCCTCACGCTGTTCTACGCAAGTGGTGAACTTGACGGTATCTCGTGGCTCTGGTTTAATGGTCAGGCAATCGAGGGGAAAACACCGCTCTACACACACCTTCCGACTTCACGGCTCTGCTAACCTTCAACCTCTCATACCCCAGCGCGACCTCCGCCTCGTCTTCGATGTGCCAGCATAGCTCCATCGGCTCGGAATTTGCGGGGGACGTCTCGGCACCTGACTGTATGCGCCCCTCGGGAGTCTCGGCTCGCGACGGCGTCGAGGAGGGTAGAGGCGAGCTCTGAACGAAGGGCGAAGCCATAGCGAATGTCGAGAAGTGAGACGTCGTAGGGAGCGAGAGACCGCGAAGCTGCTCCCTTCGACCGACGGCGTGGGCCCCAGCGTTGGGTACAACGGTCTCTGTGACCATGTCGGACGTGACTACTTGCGCGGGGAGATGTCGCGGGAGAGGGGAACGGCCCGGATGGGTGACGACGCCGTTGTCGAGGAAGACGACGTTCTGGCCGGGAGCGGCACGGTGGAAGGGGGCCTTCTTGCGAGGCTGCTTCTGGGTCTTCCTGCCTGATGTCGACACGCTGGCCATCGATTCGAGACTTCTGGGACAGGTGCAATTCAGTGGGTACTGCGGCCTCCGTCGTCGGAAATATGTACCTGGTATTTCAGAGTGTGGAGGGGGGCTTCTGAGAAGAAGTGACAATCGTCCTGCGTTCAGCTACGCATCCAGCGCGCCGACAATATTGTGGTCATGGGGAGACATGCTCGACGTCCGTCGAACGGCCTTGAACTACGCTCCATCTGTGAAGGGATGTGCGCAACGCAACCTAACGCAACGCCGCGATCGCAGGGACATCCGTGATCGAGTTATCTTCCTGTCTGCTCACGATGACCGCGTGACAAGGTTCGGATTCGTCTTTGGAAAAACAGTCTACCAACAAACCTCTTCGCCACTTCCGAGGAGATGATGTTCTGAGCCGCGTCGAAATTGCTGTGATATATGTGTACCACCTAATTGGTACCACCCGTAAGTAATGCGGTCGGCGTTGCGACGATGCTCGGAGTAGTGCATTGCGTCCAGGATGTCTGATGTGACAGCTGTCCCTGCACCTGCCATGGGGAATTCCGGCAGCGTGCGTGTGTCGACGTCAACAACATGAATGGAGCTTTTGACGAGCACAAACCTCACCGAACGTCATTGCAAGAAGCGGTTGAGTTGATCAAACCGGACGAAAAGTCTCGCACAAGTCTCAGCTGCAAAAAACATAAGGACTGCTCTGGATCTGTATGCTTTATGTGCTTCATCAACTATAGCAACTTGACGCAGTGGAAGCGTGCGGGGCTCATAAATCACGTGCATGTTACGTAATTAGAAACCCCGAAGTCCCTGGATCGAAACCAGGAGTTGCTAACTCGGCGTATATTTTTCTCTTACCTGAAAATAGAATTAAGCGCTTGTTTAGCGTCACGTGTAAAGGAGGAGGTTTACCGTTGGAGTCCACAATCCTACCCCGTTGCTCCTCCAGGTCCACGGCGTTGGCCTGTACACTGGGCTCACTAGTACTGAACGTCTGAACAATGATGAACAATAATGATAGATGGAGGACGAGTCGTAGTAAGTGAGTATGGCTCCTCAATAATCATTCAATTGCTCAGTACTCAGTCAAGCACTAGCGGCGCGATGTCGTACTGATGTCGTCTGTTCGGACGTCTGAACTTTGAGGCCTGCTCAGCATTGCGTATGCGTGCAAGCAACCGTACATAACTGCGACGCCTCAGCGCTCACTTCTCGTTCCCGTGAGTGTCTTCGTGGCGATAAGTATGGTTCTCAGTTGTAGCGCGAGCGCCTTGCGGTTCGAAGCCCACAGATATCTGTATGTCTGAAACGCTCAATTCTCCAAGCGTGAGTCCCATCCCCAAACATCTACATGGCGGAACACTTACTCCTCGAGCTTCAACGATGCTGCTGCATATCCGACGCACGGCCAGGTAGCAGCAAAAAAAGGTTCACTGCAAGGTACGTGGCTGGCCCGTCGTATTGACTGCTTCGAAACCATGTGTGCATAGCATCGGAACAAGTCTATTATCTGCTTTATAACGTACGTTTGCGGTCTTCTGTGGTTGTGCGCGATACCTCGACTCTTGCCCTCTCTGTGCTAGTCGTCAGCCATGTCTCGTTGCCCGCTTCAACAGCTACGCGCATTGTTGCAGTATATCCCCTCTTGGAAGCCTCTTCGACACTTTGCACGGCCTCTTGCTTTCCTCCGACTCCTTTGGCAATGTTATATGAAAAAAGGCGCAGACCGAAGCCTGCCGCCTGACACGAAAAGGGACAAGGGCATCAGTGAACATTCCCCTTTTGCACTTGCGAGCGACGCAAACGACGTGCTCGGCAGTCTTCCTGCGTTCGTCACTGCAGGCAACGAACCTGCTGCGTACCCCTCGATGCAGGGTCAACGTATTGGGTCTCCGAGTCATGTACTCTCCGACAGCGCTTCACCTGGGGGTCGAACGCTGTCTGATCTAAACGCGGACTCAAGGGAGAGTGTTCGGGGAACTGGTCCATACCCGTTCACTGTTCAGGAAGACTCCATCGTGACCTCAACGAATTCGTCGATCCGATGCAACCTCGTGCACGGCGACCACTCGCCCACTACCTTGCCTGCTGGCCGATTGCTGCATGAGAGACGAAGTCAGAAGACGTACCCTATAGTTGTAACAGACAGATACAAAACGGCGAAGGATTGGTGAGTAATAGTATGGTGCATTCAACCCCAGCACTGACATTCGCTTTATCAGGGAACAAAGGGAGCTCGCGTATAAAGTTGAGCCCGTGAAGATGTCCTACAAATTGTGCGTCTTTGATGATTACTGTAACTATCGAGGTACATCATGACAATCACAGGGCTGAGCCTCCAGGTGATTGGGAAGCACATACCCACCCGAAAGGCGCTTTGTACTTTTTCAATCGATCTCGTGTATGTTTGCCTTCTCATGACTTATGCTTCTCACCGGCGACTATTTGCAGAGAATATATACAGAAGCATGGATCTATGACCCGGCGATACTAGAGGAGATCGAGGATTTCGCACATCGGCTGGACGAAGAAGTGCAGAAGAATAACTTCGTATTGCCACCCAATGCAGAGCTTGTGCTCGAGCTGGAAGATGTTCCGGAAGAAGCACATGTTGCAGGTCTCGCCATTGATGTCACCCATTACTGGACATATTACTATGTAAACCATGCCGAGAGGGTACTCTTTTGGTTGACAGAATACGATCTCGAAGACGACGTACAGCAAGTCAGACACATACAATCGGATTTTCATCTCAGTGGGTCTTGCTACAGCATCGTGTGTCATAACATATTATCTGACGCACTCTCGCCGGCTTGCACAGAACATCTCGTTGAATCATATTATTGGTAGTAAACCACGTCGTGCTGTTGTATGTAACTCCATCCCACGTCCTACACGCCCGATGCTCATCTTCTTTGTAAGCTATTGGTACCGATGTTGATATGCTCGGTAGGAAACATATGGAGCACTTCCCGGTAGGGCAAACAATCACGGAAGCTTTGAGGACTGAGGTACTGTGCATTCTCATGTATGCCAATGTCGGTGGGTCTGCTGCTGTTCGATAAGACTCCATTGTAATTCACTTTCTGCGTCGTTCAGACCAAATCCTATCAGAGTCATCGACCGTTTCCATGAAGCCCGACGAAATGCTGTATCTCACGAAGATGCTTGAAATATCGAAAGGTCAGTGAGGGTTTCGTGTTCAAGATCATTGGCGTGCTTTAAACTCATTAGAGATGTAGAGCTCGGCAGCAATGACTATATTGCTTGTGTTATAGGTAGGTATCTTCTTCACAAATGTAGCAGTGATTAACGATTACGCAAGGACGTCTGATGCATAACGTTGGTACGGAGACTAACAGATTTTTAGTGCGCAAACTATAGACTGAGGTGTTCCAGTTCATAATAGGTACAACTTCTCGTTCGGACAGAGGGCCGCACGGCTAGACCGCTTCCAGCCCATATTCGACCACGACATCGGGGAGCGGTCTTCTTCATTTGCCTTTATCTCTTTGATCCTCTTTCGCGTACCCGATGCATACCTTCAAATGATCGAGACAGTATGGATCGATGGGGAAATCCAGGAGCTGGCCTGGGCCAAATGTGTTGCCAAATTGGAAAGGGACTGGCAAGACGTGGTGGTCACTGTACGTCCTGACGAGTATGGTGACAATGTGATCTCACGGAAATGATGTGACAGGCCACCGTGTTGCTCAACGCTAACATATCATTCTTGACCATCAACGATGTTGACTCAGGCGCTGGTTCTCGAATACCATCACAGCTTGCGAGCTACATATCCACCATCGCCAGCATTTCTGCGACAATGATAGCATTGCTGCTCGTCCGCCAGTATCATATGGGCTCCACAGACACGGCGATGGATGCTGTGAGCAGTTCTCCTAGAAGCACATGCGACGACCATTGATTGTGCTTGCAGACAATTCACCTGTATAAGCACCCACGGCTAAGGCTTGAGATGTTGAGCCTCGTGCACAGTTTACCATATGTGTTGCTCATGTGGGCGTGAGTTTAGATCAGCATGTGTCCATCGCTCTAATCACACTGACCACTCACGGATCAGAGTCCTCGCCTTCCTTCTCGCCTTTGCATTCGAGAATTTCCGCATCCTCGACATCCCGACTCTCGTTGTGGCGACGACGGCATGGGGCCTGGCAGTCGCCCTCGTCGCCCTGTCTCTGCACACCATGTGGCAAGGCGGTGGGTTCTCACTCCGCCAAAAGATGCGAGAATTGTACCAGCAAGTGTACGACAAATCCCAGCTTCGGATGCGCGAGTTTGTGCAGAAGAAGCAGCACGCCAACCGAGACCAAGACACGGTGCCATCGACGTCCAGCAACTTCGCAATCCCAACGGCAATCGAACTGCAGAGCGTATGATGAAGTGGGCTTTTGATGGCCGACGTACCGCGATTAGTTAGTTAGCCCCGGACGGCGTCGGAGGGATACACGCGCCCGACACACCAAGTCGGTAGAAGAGTCGAGGATGGACGAAGGGCTCGAGGGACTCGGAAGAGAGGACGGCGAACGGGAGGGCTCTGCAACACTAGTGTATGACTCACTAATGACGATGACGCCGTCACCCCGATTCTCCAAGAGCGCAAAGGCGACCCGTCGTCGACTTGAAAGCGCGTTCATAGGACCGCGTAGGTTGAGGCGCGCGCGATACGGACGTGCGAGCGGGCGTACGAGCGAGAGCCTGGGAGAGCGTCGAGCGGTAGAGATTCGATGCAGGGTAGGGCGCCCAGGCCCGGTACTATAAGTACATGCAGTACGAGAAAGACGTTCTGGGACAACGAGTCATGAAAAGTATCATACATACTTATGTGGGTGCGCGTGAGAAGCCGATCTGCAGACAGATTCAAGCCTGACAACAGTCAATAGCGACTGTCGGAGTATTACTATACACAATCTGCGCGAGAAGGAGCATCCGGCCGTTACGGGCTCCCCGCATTTTGAGGTGCATCTGCAGTCTCCAAGCCACCGACACCCGTAGCAGAGCGGGAACCCATCCACATCGCCGACACCTCCGTGTCCAACTCGATGGCCTCCGACTCTTGCGTATCCCCATCCGGCCGCACGGAGCCGCTCCGCGTAGCGGTCGTCATCGACGAATCCAACCCCGGAGCCGCGCCCCTCAGATCCAACGTCAAACGCGACAGCAGCACCGAGTTCAGGCTGGGCGCGCCGAGGTTGAGTGAGACAGTCGGATGGCGACGCGACGAGGGACTCACATGCATGACCACAGCTGCCAGACCTCGATGAACTGACGAAACAGGTAAGGGAGTGTGCTCAAGGCGGGAAGTCTGCGGGAGCGCCGACGTACCTCGCATGTACACAAAACGCCGGCGATGTCAGTCGTCAAGTGCCCGGTGACCAGACCGATGACATTGACGACACAGAGCAAACTGCAGTAAACGTCAGTCTCTGCACTGGCCACAAGAGTCGGCGTCCATATGCGACCCACGCGAAGTATAGCAGCGCTGGCATCACTCGTCAACGGGATGTAGATTGCGCGAAGAGGGAGGTCGTACGTACTGTCTCTGAGCATGATATCTGTGATCATCGTTCCCCTCGAGATCGACGTGTGCTTCTTGATCCAAAACGTCTTCACGGCTGTGAGCACCAACACCATGCCGTCCGACAACAGCGACGCAGCCCGCGCGCCCATCATCACTGGTAATACCCTCTCAGCGATCAGCACGGAAAGACGTCGACTTCACATACAACTGCAATAGGTCTACGAGCACATAGCATCTGGAGAATGGTGGGTGGGCTTACCTATATATCGAATACGCAGGGCCGCTATTGAGCGAGAGCGTGCAGACTTCATACCCCAGGAAGCCGCTCACTACGGGTTGCGACTGCATGAAGACGTACTGTGCGGATCGCATGGTTAGCCAGGAGTGCCCTCGGGCGACGGAGGACGTACGGTGATGATGACCGGGTTGGCCAGGCCGAGGAGGAGGACGGCGGCAGCTATCCATGCGTTGCGGTCGAAGATGGCATATATGCGGAGGGATGCAAAGACTGCGGGTTGCGGAGTGAGTAGCGTGCGCGAAAGCGATGTTGGGTACAGAGTATCGTCTCACCGGCGGCACTGACCGAGATGATCACTGCAAAGGAAACCTCGGTGCGTAAAAGGACCACACAGCTAAGATAAGACGTGTTATTAGACATCGCCAGAGCCGTAGGGTGATCCAAACATGAAGTCTCACCTCTAGGCGCACATTCGAAGCGTGGAGATCAGACTGGTACCCACTCGATCGAGAAGGAAGTGCTTACTGAGTTGGATTGCCAGCGCCACGAGGCGCGGCTGAGCAGCTCGACGGCGGTGTTCAAGACCGCGGGGTAACGCAAAAAATAGAAGAGGACTGTGATAGGCGACAGTTTACTCTTCCATATCAAGTTGACCTCACGATCGAATGTCAGACACCAGTCGTAACAACATAGTGCTGCAGCGACATGAACGATGAGCGACGATCCGCGACCATAGGCCGAACGATCGTCTACTCACTCGTCGCCGAAAAGTAGAGGTAGTTCTCAAAGTAGTAATAGAATCGCAGGAAACTGCGTGGTGGCAATAACTGTCAGTGGGCCTCATCTGCGCCGATCGACACATGCCAAGCACGTACCCTTCAACCAAACTCGCCTCCGCGGGTGTTAACGAGAGACCCACTAGAGCGACCATGGGATTGACAGGGGCCCGTCAGCGCGTTCCACAGGCCTCAAGCACGCAAGCGTCCCAGTTAAGAGCGGCGTCGATGTCGACATCCCAACAATGTTCCTTGCTTCGTCCACTCTAAGGTAGAGGCCGAACAGAGGGAGTTGATAGCCGGTGGACCGTGATCTATTTTGACACGTCGGTCCTTGTTTAGACCTCCATTCCGCGTCGATTTGTTGCGATCAGTGACTAGGCAGAATCGACTGCCAGAGCGCGTAGTCTTGGCCGTTCGCACCAAAGCTAGCAGCGAGCTTGCTCGCCGCAGGCCACACTGAACGAATTCTTGTTACTGCTGCATACGCCACCAAGGCAGGTCCCGTGTTATCGCCTGGCTCAGAGATGCTGCACGGATCTCGGGGCGAAGCGCAAGGAGCCCGGACAGAGCCGTATCGGCCACTTGAGAGAAGGCGCGATACACGTATTAGTACATATGGGGGAATGCGTGGCAAGTACGCACAGCCACCCGTGTCGTCTCGCGACGCCGCCGGGATGAACCACTCCTCCGGCCTGCCCATACCGCCTTTGAGCACATTGTATCCGAAAAGCCCGGGAAGAAGACTAGATCCATGCGCAGATCATCGTACTTACCCACCGCGCGACAGGCTCCAATGACGCACCTTGTTTGACTCATGGCCCGCTGTCAGGTCGCCTTCCTCGCTCTGTCCGCTCGCGGAGATACGTTTCGCGTAGCGATTGCGATCGCAGACATGGTACTGTACAAAAGGAGCACTGTTGTTTTTACACGGTTGAGGCCTTGAGAATGGCATGTTCGGGATGACTGTATGCAGGTGGACAGACTGCGCCGTACGGCAGCGCGGCGTGCCTTAGTCCTCCTCCCAAGCCATGACAGCGACCTCGGCAAACTCCCTCCAAAGGGTAGCCTCGTCCGAGGTTTCTTTACCGGGCACCTGGAACACAAGGAGAGGAAGGCAGCGGAACAGGCCTTCGTACACGCGTGCCGAACAGTCGCCGGGTTTGTCAACGACAGCCTTGCCGTTGAACCTTGGGACGCGTTTGCCGTAAGGAGGGGTAGCGTCGAGCATAAACGCCGTCCGCTCGCGTTGCTCAGGTGTGAAGCCCGAGAGGGTCCAGATCCAGAACGTGCGTATCATGCTCAGCAACGTCTGCTGGGACACGCTAAGGACGGCGGGAGAGAACTCAAATCCGGGAGAGACTTTGAACTCTGTGGGCGTAGTCAGCCTCATTTGACATGCAGAGAGGTCGACGTAACGCACCAGCGAGCTTTGCACGCGCCTCGACGAGCGGCGTAGGGTCTGGTTGCCCAGAACCGCTCCGGCTGCCCGACATGTATCTCTCTGTGAAGACCCTGACCTCCTCCACAAACGCGCGCATGCGCACGACTTCCTCCTCTATTCCTTCTGGGACGGCCGTTGAGGTGCTCGACGCGTCCTTGTTCTCGGTGGGGTGGCAGACGCGCTTGTGAGTAGGCCAATCGGCGAGCTGGCATTCTGCGCTCTGCGATGTGTTTCAGCACGTGTATATCCAGTCAGCCATGTCCGAAAACGCGCACACAGTATCTGACGGAAAGGCATCGTGAGCAGCGCTTGGTGCCTGATGCTTTTGAGCAAGCTGCGCAGGATTGCTCCGTTTCGCTCATGGTCGCGGTGGCTGTGGGGAGGACGACGCGTCGGGCGTTGCCGGCGCCTCTCAGATCTCCCGTTGTGCTGCTGCACCCAGTGCGCACCTTTGCCAGTTGAACAAGTGCTAGTCAGATGTCAGTACCTCAGTGAGGAAGGCCTTATCATTGTTCTAGTACATACTCACCATCTTCGAGAACAAACCCTCGCGAGTCACGCAAGTACTGCTCATCACCCTCTTGATTTATGACTTCAATCGGGGTCTCCGAGGAGCTGAGGTATCGCACTGCTTTCAACCTGAGTATGGCTAGAACATTCGACCCTCTGGCCCCGACTCTTTGACTACATAGTCTCATTCTTGGGACAGTATCACCGGTACGGGATTCTTCAGAGTTGTCGTGGCATGTCATCGTCTGACTTACCTCAGTACTACTTGCAATCACACGCGCAGTCTCGGCGCATGACATACGTACGTGGTCCATCTGTATTCACTCCCATACCTCGCAAATGCTCAGCTGCCAGATAGTAGCCTGTGCTTGTCGACGAACCAAACGTCAGAGGTACCAGGTCGACGGATATCAGGTCGGTGAACCCTGTTATCCCTCAGCGATACACGAATACAACTGACAGACACTTCGCAGGGGTGGAGTAGGCTCATTCCGGATGCGCTCTGCACACCGAAGTGCTCCGTTTTCGAGTACACCGGCCAAACACCGGCATGAACATCGCGGTTCGCTTCAGCAAGCCAACGCGTCGAGACTTAACGGCGCCGTGGTTATATATCGACGCAGCCTCAAGTTGCGGGTGGAAATTGTCTCTGCAGCCCCTTCATCGTAGCCCACGGCGGAATGCGCTCTATACCTCCGCTTAGGTCGCTCGGACCGATCACTCAGCGATTCAGGCCTGCCTTGGGGGAGTAATTCGGGGTATGGACGGTGCGTGCATCAGTCTCCTGAGGCAGACATAGACAATTCCTTCGTGCCTCAGGATATTTTTGTCTGACGCGTGCATATGCTGATTCGCGCGGGTCAGATTCGCTGACATCGAAGCATGTGCACGCTGTCAATCCGTTCTGTCGAACTAGGTACATACATACTGATCGTTGCTGCTTGATGCTACGTAACGTTGACAGCTCCGCGAATGCGCACGTCGCTCTCTCGGTATGACTCAGGCGTGCTGAGAGGTGTCGCCGCGTGGCACATACGTACGTTGGCAGTCTCATAGGCCACTACTCGTGTCGCTAACACCCTGCCAACTCATGGTACTTATGTCTATTCGTAGACCGTCCAGATTGACCGGATTTGTATCAGCATGTTAGGTTCTGCTAGATTTGGAGTCTCGATACATCTAACTTGCATTCCTTAGCTTGACATCAGTACCTCTGTCGAGACTCGCCCTGAGCTACGGGAGACGGGTGTTTTCAAGTTGGGACTTGCTGGTACCACGGGTTTGATGCCTCCGTAGGCAGCACCCTGGTCTTTGCTGGTTGCCGACAGTCTGGTGGTGCGCGCCACCGACGACCCGTCGGAGAACGTTGGCTCTGATCGACTTTCCGTCTCCGATAGCCCTCATGTCATTCACTCTGCATGCTGATGGATGTGTGTATGCAGAGCCCCGAATTCTCTGACGAGACAACCTGTACTTAGGAGGATGCATCCGGTTTGAGTCAAGTCGAGCCTCGTGTGCGGCGTGTCCACGTTTCGAATTGTTCTCGGATCGCGTAGCAAGCCATTACTTTACACCGCATACCCAGGGCCGTCTTCATGTCTACAGATCGGCGCGAGCCGCATCCAGATCCTGTGCACAGTGAGTCTCAAAAAATAAGGTTTTGAGTTACACGGCTACTGTGCAGACGATCGGACAGGTTCACATGGTCCGAGTCACAGTATGGAGATTGGACACAGCGTGGATGACGCCGGCGACCGTCGTCGTAACTGCCGGTGAATGTATAACAATGCTCGGAGCTCTGGAGTGCGAGGCCGAGTTGGATGGACGGTAGACAGAGATCCGAGGTGATGCTGAAAGTATGGGAGTAGGCTTACCGCCAGCTACGTGTGTGCTGGTTTATGTGGGGTATGTGATTGCTGATAGCTGCATAAGTTATTGTTCAAAGTACTAGGCCGAAGTAGGACGTACGTAGCCACAGCCCGCCACTGTGGTACCCTACTGCTAATCCCCAGCGGCCAGCCACCTGCCTGATGCTACTCAGGCCTGTGGGTTCCACGTAACGGTATAGTGCTCAACTCGTCTACCGTCCTCCCCCACTCAGAGGTCGCGTTTAGAGTCTGCCCACAGGAGACTATAGGTCGCCGCAAGTAAGGCGCCAGCACACTGGCGCTTGATACGCCGGACGTGACACAGGTTGGTGGCGTTACACTACGGTATAACTTGTCAGTAAGTTG